ATCATCCGACTCAAGAATACTGTTCAAAACCTCTTCTTCAGAGAGCTTGCGCTTGCTGGACGATGCCATTATTGTCCACGTGCATATAGTCAAACTCAAAGCTGAACACGTTACTCGGAACAAGATTTTGTTAGTCAGAACGAGGTTGTGTCGTCTTGCACATGTCCAGGCAAAGATTTCCTCAACCAGGCGTAATATAACGTCTTACGCACTCAGGACAGCCATTATACATGTGGTGCGATAGTGGGGAAATTGCCAAGGGAGTCCCCCAAGTGACGTACTATGTTCTAAGAATAGGTTGAGGAAAATACCTCCAAGACGTTATATTACGTCCTACACACAGTGAGTGGCAGTTGCCCAGGATGTTATATAACGTCCTACGCAATTAAAGGGTTAAGTCTTGATATGTAAAAAAGTCTCTTTGTTTAACCCTTTAACCTTCAGAGTTTCACATGGAACGTTTCAGGAGGCCATTTACAGGGTCATGATCTATAAGTAAAAATGACAAAAAATGTTAAATATTTTATGAATAGAGGGATTCAAGAACTTTCCAAAAAGATATAAATCTGTATAATTTATTCTTAAATTTAAAGAGTTACATGATATATTCTTAACTATATGCTGTTCCTAGTCGAAACCCCAAAACAATCTGACAGTTAAAATGGGCAAAATTCTTCCTCGGCATTGCACATTACCGGTAATCAAAGGAATCAAAATTATCTAAACACTGGTGTGTACATAACAGAACCCTTGGCAGTTGGAATTTTAAGAAGGTGCCGTCCAGGCAAAATTGCACACAAAAGAAATAAAAATGACATTGGCCAGATATGCCTTAAAGCTCTAATTAAAATAGTTGGCCATCTGCTTGCATCATAACCTGAATATATAATTTATACAGATATCGTGAAACACTCCAGTTAATACACATACTCACGTAACAATCCACATATAGAATTTCAACATGTCATTAAACCCTAAACCTGGTCACAAATCTACTTTATAAATTGTAATGCCAGTTATTAAAACAAATATAATAACATCTAATATCAAACAGCAAAAATCAATTAAAGGATATAAATTGCAGAGCATGAAAAATCACGTAGCAGTAATGTATGATACTCATAAACAATACTGTCACAATTTGTATTAATCATTCAATACCACTGATCATCAGTTGATAGATTTTTAATTGCTTGCACAATATTGTGAAAGTTAAGAATTTGTAAAACTAATATAAGTCCATAAATGGTTCAATTCCATTAAGTATTTACCAATATATACTGAGCGCCATGGAAAACGCATCACTTAGTTTTTCGTATAACAAATTGATCCTGTAAACATATCTTATTTATTTTGCTTTTTATTGTGAACAATATTCAAATGGGAACACATCAATAACAACACATTTGTACACTTATGGATGTTTAATCTGTAATCAATGGTACAAAGTCAGAGGGGTCAAAACCAAAAGTACGACACAGATGTCAGTAGCGCATGTGTCCTCCACGGGCTCTTACGCATGCTGTGCAGCGACGTCGCATGGAATTAACCAATGTTTGAAAGAAGGCCTGGGGTCAATTGTTCCATTCTTGGACAAGAGCAGCCTCTAAAGCAGCAATGGTGTGCATCTGTGGTCTCTGATGTCTTCATTCCATTGATTTTCAGTAAGTCTTGGCATCTCTAGCTCGATTCCTTCACACGTCCAACAACAAATTACGACAGATTGACGTTTCACAGTTCATGTACTGCACATTAAGTTGAAAACATGCTTTTAAAGGGCTCACACACAATGCTGCACGTGAATATTGGGTTTTTCATGTGCATCTTGTGCAATTTTTTGCATTTGGGAGCACTGTGTGAAACAATAGTTCATAGTATTGCATAATATTATACATACAAAACCACCTAGTAATAAAATATTTGGGAAAAAAAAGTGATGCGTTTTCCATGGCGCTCAGTATATTACATACTCATTTAAAATATAAACTAACTGGCACCACCTATAATCTTAGCAAAAATTGATTGATCATTCCCTTTTTATTCAACTGAATCCATCCACAAAGATTATCAACCGTTGCAGGGTATTTTGTTAAATTTTCTTAATTACATGTTAAATAATCTCTTTCAGGCCATTTCAGTGTGGATTATGCCTTAAAAATTAGTTATAATCAAAAAAATTAAAATGACGATCAGCAGTTTTAATAATCTTTTCTCCTCCATAATTTCATTTCAAGAAGAGCTTTTTGGTTGTTTTTTATCATATAAAATATATTCTGCTGTAAAAGAAAATGTTAGAAGAAGAAAATAAATTATTGTACCATAAAACTAAGACTTCTATAATTCTTTTTTCTTCATGAATAATTCAACTTTTGTCTATTATTCTTTATTAGCCTTTAGTTATATGTAGTCTATTAGAATGCAGTTTATTAGTATGTATATGCACGTAGTCTATTAGGATGTAGCCTACATGTAGTTTATTAGTATAAATAAAAAAAGAATTTTTTCATTTAAATTACTATATCTGTATATTTAATTCTGGTTTATACTTTTGATGAAATAATTTTCTTTACATTGCCAAATTTTGTTCGGAGGTTGTTGTTTGATGTCAGGATTGACCTGTTCTTATGCATTGTTTTAATTAAAGGTGTTGGGGGTTATGGGTAGAGACAAAGGTATTGATATAGTCAGAACTGTCCTTTGTAGTCCTCAATTTTTGGATATCAATTGCCAAAGCCCAATCTGATTAAAATAAAGTTCTATATTTCGTTTCTTTTTTTTTATACTTTCGATGGCCTACTAAGCTACATGAAGATCTGACCAGTTGTACTAGGAGGTCCTGTCAGGGGTCATACGAGCGGCTTTTGACCTTGTGACATCAGACATCGATCAGACGTTGACATTTCTTGGGGTTTACCCACAGTTCCGTGTAGAGCATGCCAAGAAGTCGCTGTAACATTGGCTAATTCCTCACATCAACTAGAATGCCTGTTATATAACAACTCTTTGAACTATCAAAAATGAAACGAAATAGGATCTGTGTTTTAATCAGATTAGCCAAAGCCTCATTTATCCCAACTTCGATTACCTTGATGGGGTAATGCTGTTTCAACAAATCTATTTCTAGCTCACCTAATCTGAGAATCTGAAGGTCTTCATCTATCGCAATTGTGCATACTTTTCTAGCTAAAGAAAATGGTATATTATTTTTGGTATGACGTGGATGACATGATTTATAAGAGAGATAGGTATCTGTTTCTTTGAAATACATGTCCGTTACAAGGAGTTCTCCCCTTTGTTTCACTAGAACATCCAAGAATGCGTTTTGCAAATTGTTGGCTTCAATTGTGAATCTGATATTTAAATCTAAATCATTCATTATTTTTTGCCAATCTGCAATGTCGCCTATTCGTTCATTCCAAAAAGATATACATGTATATACTCATGTAGTCCATTTGTATGTAGAATTAGTATGTCTGTGTAATTTATTAGTATGTATGTGTCGTTTATATAGTATACGTACATGTCGTCTATTAGTTACTAGTATGTACATCTAATGTATTAGGGGAAATCAGGTTAGAAAATTAATTTCTCCACTGACCCCAATGATCGTTCCCCTGAATTGCACAAAACAAGAACATAACAATCAGTGAAATAGAGTGGGTACATTTGTTACACATTCCCATAGCAGATACAAAATTACACCAGGAAGACCCAAATTAATTTTTAACAAAAACAAATATCACCGTACTATGGATCAGGAACTGAGTATGATGTCATATCCTAAATCAAAGGCCGTCAATCGATGTGCAATTGGCCAAGGAACAAGCATGCCAAGTTTCAGGTCAATCACACATGAATTGTCAGAGTCTTATGCCTGTTTCAAGAGCGTCACCCCCAGGATCAATAAGAGGAGTAGCTGGTGGGGACCAGTTCCTGTTCTACAAATTGTGGTGCAAGTCTCATCACTTGATGCTTCTAGTTAAGTATAAACCTTTCCCTTGAAAAAAATTTTTTCTACATTCAAACAAATGAGTGCAATGTGCACCATGGCAGAACAGATTTGTTCTTTTTTCTTGATATATTTCTTGACATTATCATCGCTGCGCTATCCAAACCTTGTATCTCGTTTTTTTTTGCCAAATTTACATTTTTGCTTGTTCAGAATCAAATTTTTGTCATGCATCATCTATCAAAAGTTTGTACCTCTACACCAATTAGAAATAGGATTTTTGAGCATGTGACAATTTCTTGGAATCTAATTAGGGATGTGACAAAGAAAATATGAATAAAGTCTCTCTACTACTAGAGCCGGAAAATAAGGTGTTGTTTTAAACAATAGAATACGAAAATCTAGAAGATAAGATAAATGAATTAAGTGACACAATGAAGACAATGAAATAAATAAAGATCATAATGTCAGAAAAAAGCAGAAATGAAAGGTTATGCAGTGGCTGAGAACCCCAAATAAAAAAATGTAGAATGGAAGGAATCAAATACAAAGGTTCGATGAAGCCTAGTGGTCACTACAGTTATTGTGGAAACAGACCAGAAAGGAAAATAGAAGAACGAAAATGTACCATCACTGAAGAAAACAAAATTTGCCAAAATTTTAACTTTTGGCCAACAACATTTATTGTTTAAGACCCTCTTCTAGGAATGAATTACCTCAGGATATTATACCTTCTACTGCACTCTTTATACTTTTAAGAAGAAATTGACAACATATTTAATTTTAAAGGTTTTTTCTTCATATAACCATTTCTCATTAACAAACTTTGTTTTATATGTCTACATAAGTTTGTTGTGTATGTATTTCTGACTTTATTGTAATAATTTTTCTTTTAATGTGATATTTTTCCTTTTTTGTGGTATATTTTAGTTCTTGATTTTATCTAGTATCTTTTGTGGTTTTATTTCATACACTGTAATGCATCAATGAAAAGGTGGGGTGGGGGGTATATAATTTTGTAATAATAATATAATAATATAATATGACTAACTCGAAAGACATTGTTGTTGAAGACTGCAACATCATCATTTTAATCTTCATACAACATCACAACTTCTACACTGAAATCAAATATTAAAAAAAAAATAGAGTCTAAAATATGGAAGGCCAAAAATGAAAGTTGTGCTTAATCGTATGAACAGGACGAAAACCACAGGACCACCCAGTCCAAAAGAACCCTTGGTAGTTGTAACTCTACTACTAGGTAGAAACGTTTATGTCCAGGCAATATTCTCCCTCTCGCATTCATAGGCGTAAGGGCTCGATGACAGTTAGGGGGGCAGAACCCGAAATGCCCGAAAAAATTTCGGGTTTACAGACAGTGGCGTCGGTCTTCCTCGTGACGGCTGAAAACACGTTTTCCTGCTATTTCAGTCCTTGAACAAAGTGGTCTATTATAGCCTAATTAAGATGGCTGACTCGAATACAGCCTGTGAATACAGCAACTTCAATTTGGTCCAATATAGCCCACCTGGCTGACCCGAATTCCAAACAACCAATCAATCGTCGCGGAGTATGGAGGCCTCACCCTCCCGGAGAACATTTTGAAAATTTAACCACCGCATATGCGTTTTCTGCTATTCTAGCCCGTGTAAGCAACTCCAACAGTATCCAATGGTTTTGCAACCTAAATCCCATTTTGAATTCCAACCATTCAATCAGATTGTTGCAGCTGCATTCACAAATAATAATCGATGCCCGAAAAATGTCGCACAAAGTGTTAAGTAGATGAAATAAAAAATTTTTTTCACTTTACTCGTCTGCCCGAAAAGTCAGCTTGCCCGAAAGTTAGGGGGGCAGCTGCCCCCCCTGCCCCCCTGGCTCGTACGCCTATGCTCGCATTGCACATGTAACCATACAAATGAAAATGACCATGTTAGTCTCAAAATAACAAAAGTATTGTTTTTACAAGACTTTAAACCCTATTCCATATCTCATTCTTTTAAACAAAATTCTAATTCACTTATTTGGGATAGGTATGTAACATGCACCTGCTATATAATTGGAATATAAATTACTTATTTGTACTTACATGTACATGCACCACCTGATATTAACCAACAAAATATGACACGCATTCTAATGTATGAACTAAATTTATTCTAATTCAAAATTAAAAACAGCAAGAGTGTCAGTGACATTTCTGCCTTCTGAAGTGTCCAATTACTTTGTCAAATATTATTTATAACAGAATATAATACAAAACACGCTTCCGTTCATCTCATAAATTATCCAATTAATGTTACTAGTAAATCCTGTATAGATAAATAAATTGACAATACACGACGCAGAACACGTCAAACCGTTATACAGAAGTTAAAATAGATTAGTCTGTTGAACAAATAAACGCTACTACATTTTCTCGGAATGAGGAATTGAAGAATAATGAAAGTAGCCTGGTTGACGGACAGTTTGTTGGCCCATGCTCCTTACCTGCCAAAACATTTGACTAATCAAAAACGGAAATTTGCCAATAACGCTGCTTCCTGTAGGAAATATCCAATTCTCTAACGTCATTAGATTGTTCTGTGTTTGCGCTTAGAATACATTCTAAATCAATTGACAGACGACATACCCATTCCAACATCAAACTATAAGAATGGCACTATCTAATATGAAAACGAACAAAAAAACCTCAACAACTTCATTTCAAATTGACAGGCAAATCTTGAGAAGCTGTCTAACTTGTATTTCATTAGATCTATTTCGAAAGAAAATTGTCTTGGCGGCAATCTCTTTGATAAAGCTCTGTCAAATACCGCGTACAAGTGGCAATGCACTCAATATGTCCGAAAATCTTATCGAATCTGTTAAACAATCAACCCATTTGAAATATGTTTCCGATGAGTCAAGAATTTCAACATACATCATTATTTCAAAGGACAACAGATGTCTTTGAAAGAAAATTAATTTCAAATAGAAAAGCTCACATACTACACAGGTTCTAATTCTCGCTATGGCAGAGAAATTACGAACTTTAGAATGTTGTTAAGTTCCATTCCAAATTGTCTGGGTAAAGGTTTCTGGAATAACTACAAACATTATAGTTAGGGACTTGGCTCAGAACATGATGGTGAGGCCTACTGAAATATATTCTATGACATGTATATTGTATTAATCATATTTTTACATGGTCCCACATCTTCTCTAGGGAATTCTTTTACATTGCGTCCTATGTCCTTCATTACTCTCAATTAATTTATTCTGGATAGTGGCACCATGACCTACTTATATTTAAATTTCCAACTGTTAATTGGTACAATCTTTTGATCCGATTGACTTGGGAGAATCTACAAACTGATATTTTAGTTTGGATTTATTAATTAGATATAACCAATTTGAGTACAATTTAGCGTTGACTAGATACTGTATGAATATTACACAACTGGGATCGACCACTTTAATAACTTTAGTCGTAAAAAAATTGTTAAAGAAAAGCTTTCAGCAATGCAATTCAATATAGTGCAAGGAGAAAATAGAATTTTCTTACCATAATATTAGTTAGAAAGTCTTTCGAAATATACAAATTGCGACTAGTGATTTTAAAAGAAAATGTAATAACAATATGTTCCCCTGGGGGTAAAATGAATTGTTGGAATTCATTTTTAGATTGACATAACATTTTACATAAAATTTAATTGCATGTTGTCGAAAAATATTTGTTTTTCTCATAAAAATGATCACAGGAATAAATCAATTTATGTTACAACAACATTCTTTATCATCAAGTAGAATATCATTAATTATGAAAATAATTTTCAAGATCTTTTATCAGATATACAATATATAGGTCAATAACAGAGACGTGAAGATGTTTGGTGATGACAACTCCTTGATAGTATATCCCCTAGATTTAAGTACGATAAATGTGAGAAAACAAGACATTTTAAATATGTAAAAACAGATGAATTAAACATTTTATCTGAATTAAATATAAATCAGCCATATTATTTAAGAGAGAGAGAGATAAATGAGGTTTAACGTCCACTCGACAAAAACTAGGTTATTTCAGGAATAACACATGGTTCAATTTTATTTCAATAATTCACTTGCATACAGGGGTCTTTAGCAATGGGAGGAAACGGGAGGACCCAGAGAAAACCCACGAGGTTGGACAGGCAACCTTATTCCTTGTCATGTACAACCGGGGAATCGAAACCACACCAGTTGACTCAATGACAGACCTTATGATACAGCGTGCACATGTTGACCATTCAGCCATCCAACCAATATTATTTATGTGTCCCTAATGAGATCTTTGTCAGAAAACATGGTTCCTCTACTCTGGTCTTGCTTCTTAAAATCAGGGCTGGATTAAGACGTATGGGGGTCCTGGCACACTTCATTAAATGGGGGTCACTAAGTATACCCAGTCTACTCTCATCTCAAATTACTGAATGCTTGATTGTCAGCACTGTATGTCGAATATCAAATTGTTGTTCAGTAAACTTCAATCAAACTATTGCTTACGTGTCAATGATTTCCAAAAAGTATAATTCCTGATTAAAGTCAACTTTTGTCACTGTTCAACAATCATATAATTCAATTACAATATTTCAAATCAAAATACATATATGCTAATAACAGGCCAATTGCCTACACATGAACATAAACAGTTCATATGGGCTGCTTATCTGACGGCCCCCTTTTCACTCGCAAAGAGATACACTGTCAAAAGTGAAAATGGACGTTTTTGATTTTTGTCTTAATAATGAGTAATTGCTCAACCAATCCTCAAACATTCAGCAATTCGTCGTGCCATGCTCCTAAGCAATCGTCCAATCATGATTTGGGGCAATCTGACCCACTCCTCCTGCAGTGCCACAGCCAATTCTTGCAGTGTTGTTGGTTGAAGTTGACGTCGACGGACACGTCTCCCGATCAAATTAAATGTAACACACTAAAGCAAAGATACGCTAAATAGTAAATCTTATGCAAGAACCGATAGGAAACCAAACTAGGATACATAAACCCGCATGCGGTAGTTTTCATCAACCGCTCCTTGAAGTGTCAAATTTGACAATGAACCCTTCCCACGTGTATGGCGCTATTGCATGTCGCATGTGCAGCTCAGTGGTTCTGTTGGGGCGATAAGTTCTTCATCTGTGAACATACTCTCAAAGCATGCCAAGTGTCTATGACTATTTATCATATCGCAACCTGCATAGGTATTTGCATTTCAATATCCCCTACTTTTTTTGAAGAGTATATATATTAGATATATTAGTTAAATTTCTTATTTACTCTCCGATGTTTATATAATTTTTGTAGTTGCTTTTAAAAATTCTATATCCAAACTTTCTAAAGGGCATGACACATGTCCGTATTTAAGCTCTTTTCATTTAATCCTATTGCTACAAAATAGTAGCACATAATCACCCATTTCATTTAATTCTGGGGATCATATGGTGGCTCGCTAGCCTGGAGGTCGGGTGTTTGATTCCTGCATTGGCAGAGAAAGTTCATCCAGATTTTCTGGCGTGGTTTCCCCTTGTCAGTGATGCAGGACGGAGGGCCTGACAAGGACAGCTGTCTAGTCGTTCGGATGGGACGAAAAACTGAGGTCCCGTGTACACATTGGCGTGCACGTAAAAGATCCCTTGGCAGTTGGAATTCGATATAAGAGTAGGCCATAGAGCCGCTGCCCGGGCAAAATTTCCGTCATAGCACACTGTATGGCGTATGCCCGTCTTCATTAGCCCAGTTTAGGAGCCAAAGGTCATTACAGGGACCAACTTAGATAAGTCTCACAACAAGTGGAAATGGTGATAAATATAGAGAGCATAAGGCATACCATGTCTTGTGCATATCACCATTTGTTAGAACTTGTTGCTTTGTGACCAAAACTGACTTGATAAACAAACTTGACCGTATAACACATACGCTATTCCTCTACATGTATTTCAAAACAACTTATTCATCTAGCAACGTACATTTATATTCACTAAATTAGAAAACTAATTCAAAATTAAATCTTACCTTAACATTTTAAATAAATTTATTCTGGCCTCTCAATATTTATTATCCAATAATTTTAAACTGTCAAGCTGAAATCTCACATCCATGAAGGGAAGCACTAGAAAATCACAACAGCAGAAAGTATCTGAATCAGGGTTTCCACATCAAAAGATCGTGTGATAATGAAATATTTTTCTTTTGTAAAAAAAAAGTATTGAAGACTTTGTCATAATCAATCACAGCAATAGCAAACTTACATCATTCTTGTGAGAAAAAAAAATTCCCTTCTATTATACATTCTTTGAGATTGTCGTTTTTAGACACCAAGATGTTAAAACACAATATAAATTATTCTTTCACAAACAACTCCTCTCAAGTAACTCTCTAATAAAACAATCTAAATGACAATTGTAGTGTAGTATCTTACTGAATAAAGACCCATCTATTAACTGTAAGCCACTGTATAGAAGAAATTTGTCCTGATGTTTAAAACATGATATTGAGATGACTATCGCGCCATTCTATCGGATCAATCAGATGTTCTGGTAATGACTAAAAGGACCTTGTGAATATATTTCTACATGGATGTATTTCGTATTTTATGACAATACCTTTATGTAACCGAATGTGATCAAGCTTTATGTATTATCTGACATGATTATTGTCTCTGTCTGATATTTTGCAATATTCATACATATAACACATAATAAAATGTAGGCCACAGAAGGCCCAATAAACATAACCTAAATTCCTAGGTTAGATCCTGGTTTGGGCCGATAAAGTTCCATAGGATTTTCTAATGTGGTTTCCCCTTGTCAGCTGTGTAGAACCGAAGGCCTAGTAATGTTTAGTCATCTATGACTATATGGACAAAAACATGAGTTCCTGTGTACCCTTTGGAGTGCATGTAAAAGAATTGACTGGGTTAATGAAGACAGGCATATGCCATGCAGTGTGCTATGACTCATGAGGGGAATTTTAAATTCTAACTGTCAAGGAACGTGTACAAGGAACCTAGTTTTTCGTGCCACCTGACACTATTTCTTGCCAGACCATCTGTCCTGCACCACTGGCAAAGGGAAGGGCAGATTGAAATGGACGAAGACATAAAACTTTCTGAACAGCTCAAGTTACCATCTTATTACATTTACTTTCATATATTGTGAAGGTCACTGTTCATTTAATATACATATAAAAAAAACAATCATGGTACGATTTGTTTCCTGGTGTGGAATTGTACAAAAATTGGTTGATGAAGCTCCAGATTACAATACTAATTATAACATGCCAAAGCAGTGACAAAGGCAATATCTCTGCAAATAATTGATGTGCAAAAGCAAAATTTATTTTTGACATGAAGTGATTCAATCAATCCCAACAAGTTTGGTGATCTCATGAGCTATTACAAGATTTGATGACAGGGGCAATAACTCTGCAAACAACTTACTTGTATAGGGTTTATCCGTCTTAGTCAAACAATCCCAGCAAGTCTGATGATTTCTTGAGATTGTATTTCAGGGGCAATAACTCAATCAGGTTCTGCATATTCTTGCATACACCTGTGGGCAGATTAAAAGTTGCTAGAAGCACCCACAGACAGACAGACAGACAGACAGACAGGGGTGACAACAATATATGGATATCAACTGAAATGAAATTAAGGTTTAGTGCTTTAGGGTGTAATATATAAATAAACCTGTTCTAAACGCTAATGATAATTTGAGAATAATTCACAAATAAATGTGTTTAATGATCTTCTAACTACACCATGCATTAATTGCATACATGTGCATAATAGAAATCAGTGGAGTGCATAATTTGAACTCGCATTTTAATGGATTGGTAGACTGTAGTATGGCATAATTATCAGACCAACTTATCAACATCATTATTACCATGTTTACTAAGTATTCTACACACATAATTATGTTTGTGTTTTGTGTTAGATAATGTATTAATAATTGAGTTGTTATACATAGGCCCTATAAGTTTTAGTTTTAATCGACCCAACTACAACAGTGCATTCATGTATAAAACCATTATTAGGTATATGGTATTCATATATGGTTATTAATAGACAACAGCATCATTGGGGTGCAGACACTTTGTCTTTCTCTTTGTTTGATGAAATGTGCCAGAAGGCTAATACTCGAGTAGTCATTTTCCTTATTAAATTTATCAAAATAAGTTCTTCAGATGGTAATTTTAAAAATCCATTTTACAAGCCATCCTGACCTCAATGTTCTTGTATAGAAATGAGATATTATATTCCTCATTTAAATTTAACAAAAATCATTAGGGCTTTCGCCAATAATCTAGATAATTAAATAAAAAAAACAATGTAGGTGTGTGACCATCATGACCTCAATGTTCATTAAACAGAATACTTCTGTAGTGCTGACAGACAGAAAATAATGATATATATCTGTATCAATAAATGATGACAAGAATCTCAGATGACCATAAATTATGTTAGGATTGATTAATCTGAATAATTTTGGGACCATTATAGTGTTTAATGAAAATGAAATGCTAGGAATAAACCTATGGCCAGGGTGTTCAGGTTAGCGAGCCGACCTTTTACTCACTGAGTGACTGTCGTTCCTGGGCCCTGTTTCTCGAAATCTTAACTAAAGATAAAATCCAAATTTTAATAGATACTTCAATTTTGATTGGCTAAGCACTAAAATCAATCTAATATTATCCAATCAAATTAATAAAATTTGGATTTTATCTTAGTTAAAATTTCGTGAAACAGCCCCCTGTTGTTTAATGTGTTGGAATGAAAGTTTATTGTGCCCTTTAGTCTTGAATACTAATTGTGGATTTAACATTATTTTCAATCAAAAACTGTACTCTTTAGAGAAAGAACTATTTTAAGACAATACTGCACTAATCTCCAACAGAAACACTGAACAACACAGACAATTCAAAATGTCACATGACATAGGCTATATATAATGCATCCACTTCATAACCCAAGTTCCATAGTAGGCCTATTTATAAGTTGTCAATCGTCACTTATTTTTACAAACTTTTCCTTGTCCATTTTAGATATCACATTAATTTAATTTATACTTACCGGTACTGAGAGATATTATTGAAGCTCTATTCTTTGGAACCTTAAAATGGACGAAAAGCACATATTTATTATATGATAATGTACATAAAAAATTACATGGTATTTTGTTAATGGATGTTTCAATTCATCACGGGGGGGGGGATGGCTTAATGGTTAGCACTTGCGAGCTGTATCATAAAGTCTGTCATTGAGTGAACTGGGGGGGGGTTTGATTCCCCAGTTGTACGTAACAAGGAGTAGGGTCGCCTGTCCAACCTCGTGTGTTTTCTCCGGGTCCTCCGGTTTCCTCCCACTGCTAAAGACCCCTACGCCCAAGCGAATATGGAAATAAAATTGAACCATATGTTAGTCCCGAAATGGCCTAGTTTGTGTCAAGTGGACGTTAAACCCCACATCTCTCTCTTTCTCTATTCATCACATAACAATGAATGAAATGAGTTTTATGAGTCCTAGTACACAAACCACACCATGCTGTGTGCTTTTACCCTGACAGCAGCTTTTTCACTTACTCTTTCAATGAATTTCAACTGTCAAGGGTTACTTTACAAATTACATGCACACCCATCTGTAGACTACATGGGTAGACCATGGTTCTTTGTAGCATCTGAATGACTGGAGTTTTTTCACCTTGCCTTGCCAGGACATGTAATCAGTAGTATTATCTAAATATACCAGGCAATTAATAAAACATATGCACATCTGCTGCTAAGTCTGGCGAGCAATTTAATAAAATGAAATGAAATTGAATTTGACCACACACTTTTCTGCAATAGCCTACCCAGGCTAATAGTAGTTTGAAATATAAAATCTTAAAAACTATGATTTAGTTGCTTTTTAGGCCTCGTAAGTTTGAAAAGGTTCATGTCTTTGATTTGTTCAGTCAATTTGAAAAGAAAGGCAAAGAAAACCGGTGCAAATGTGTAGAGCAATTAAAAGAATTTGGCCAGACACCATATTGTCATTATTTATGGTCACAGCAAGCAATAGGCTACCTTGTAATGAAAGCAATGCCAGTCAGTAATTTTTTCCTCTGCCTAAATGATCTTAAATATCACCTACATTTTCAGCAGGTAAACACTTTTATACTAAATCAGCCATTCAATTACGGTATTATAAAAATCCACACGGTTTACGATAGGCTATAAAATAATAAAATGCGAAATAAGAATACCGTTATAATATGGGTTCACGTGATTCACTTGGTTGCGTCATACTGTCGCTCTTCTCGATCTATCATCTATACTAAGCAGCAAAAGAAACGTCAGGCCAGTATGTTACTCTTAATAGACGCATCGCATAAAACTTGCCAAATGTGTTTATTGTATATTTGTGACCACATCCCCAACTTTACCTGAGCAAGAAGGTTCCTTCCCAAACACAGAATTGAACCCAGGAAATGTTCTCAAAAACGCAACCTGACTTCTGAGATGGTAATGTGTTCTCCATGATTTTCATGAAACTCATGCTGCACGTGCTGTTCACCGGGACCAGGTCTATAAAATGCACCCCATACCTGGTTGAATCATTCACACTACAACGTCAGTAACATGCTACGGCTCACGACAGCTCAGTCGAAGAACCATGCAGGCGCTTGGAAGACTCCACACTGGCCACACTGCCCAATCCGTTACCAATCACTTCCGGGCCACCAACACAACGGGTGATCGCCCCTGAACTGGTAGACCAAGGGTTACCACAAGGCTACAAGACCGCCATGTTGTGCGACAGCACGTGCAGAATTCCTTCACACAGGCATCTGAGACAGCACGTCAGACAGTGAGAATACACGGAAGATCCATCAGTACCGACAGTGCGCCGAAGTCTCACCAGAGAGAACATCCATTGCCGTAGACCTCACCGTGGACCGATCCTCACCCCTCGCCATCGACGTGAACGTCTACAGGTTGCCCAACAACACCAGAACTGGCGACACAGGCAATGGAGAACTGTTCTGTTCACATCGTAGTATGAGAGTCGGTATTGCGTATCAACTGCAGATGGCAGGACCAGAATATGGCGTCAACGTGGCCAGCGTTATTCTGACCAATGTGTCCTGGAATGAGACTCATTGGGAGGTCTAAGCATAATGGTTTGGGGTGGAATCGGCCTGAACCAGAGAGTGGGACCTGTGGTGTTCCAAAATCTTGGTCCAGGGAGAGGAGGCGGCATCACAGCAGTGCGCTACATCGATCAAGCTCTCAGCAAACCCCACGTCATACCACATTTCGCACGTCATCGAAACAACGTTTTCCAGCATGACAACGCCCGTGCCCACACCGCCAGAGTTACTCGGGACTTTCTACAGCAGAACGGTGTCAACGTTATGCACTGGACTTATACCCGATTGAACATCTTTTTTGGGAAGAAATTCAGAGGAGACTTAATAACATCATACCGAAACCAAACACAGCCGATGGATTGCGCCAGGTTTTTCTGAGAGTGTGGTTCCAGTTGCCAATTGCGTTCATCAATCGTCTGGTCCACTCCATTTACAGACGCTGCGTTGCTGTTATTGACATTCGCGGTGGACACACCAGATACTGATGTATAGACTGTGTACAGACTCTAAACCTTCTCATAATGTCTTGGAATTGTGATGAATTAATCACTAATGTGTCAACATACTGTTCACCAAAAAATTGCTTCGATCCATTTAATCGTTTTCTAGAATGATTTGATTAAAGTGCCTCTCTGATTTTAAAATCGTACTAACGTTTTTTTTTTGTTTTTTTTTTTGCTGTGTTTACCGTCCTACTGTTCTGATTAACGCCCTACTGTTGCGACTCGGGGAGGGGAGGGGGGGCTCCACCCGCAAGAGACCAAGTAAGCGCTCTCGTAAGACAAAGTCCCCTCAGACCCAGTTCCAAATTACATATTATCTGAAATTACATAAATACGCAGCTGTCTGAAATATTTTCGCGTCTACGGCATTCGATTCCATTATATCATCAGTCTTTCACTCCTGATCTATGGTCTTATATACTCACTCATCACTATCACGTTTATAGTGAATCGCCCAGTTAGTAGTACAGTAGCACTAGTGAGTGGGTCGTGGGGCGACAGACTGTGCAAATATTCTGTCAACTCTCGCAAAACAGGCCTCGAGATTATGACCCATTTCTTATCGTCTTGTTCAAATGCAATAAAATTTAGGCCCAGTTCAAAAAAAAAAAAAAAAAAAAATTCAACCTCGTGGGTTTTCTCCGGGTTCTCCGGTTTCCTCCCACTGCTAAAGACCCCTATGCTCAAGCGAATTATTGAAATATAATTAAACCATATGTTAGTCCCGAAATGACCTTGTTTGTGTCGAGTGGACGTTAAACCCCATTTCTCTCTCTCTCTCCAAAAAAAATTAAAAGGATAATTTGGTTACATATTATAAGTTGTTATCTGAAATTTCTTCGCGCCAACGTCGCTCGATTATATTATAGCATTATTCTGCCTCAACTCTCCATGTCTTATACTATCTCATCACAATCACATTCATGGTTATGGTGAACCGCCCAGTTAATAGTACCCTACCATTAGTGCGTGGGGCAAAAGACTGTACAAATTTTCTGTGGAAATTGACAGGCAATCACGATTCTGTCCCATTGACTCCCATTTCTGAGCCTCTCGTTCACAAGAATTTGCTCCCAGCAATGACGTGAAAAGCCAGGATATTGACTCACATTCTCAAAATTTTCTCAGAGGGAGAACACAATTCTTGTCCGATTTTGGTGGAACATAAAGTATATGTTTACATCCCAAAGTTCTCAGTTCCTTTGGATATTCGTACATATCAGATCATAACTTTCTGGATTATGGCCCCCGATTGTACGAAAAATCACATTTTTAGCTTTTGGATCCTCTAGAGGTAACAATTTTTGTTCGCTTTTAAAAACCGTTTAAATATATCACTGTCGCACAATCAATATATCTTATCTTATATTATATAAAAACGTAAAATGTAGACTATATTTGTATATATGAAGCTTCAAAAAGCTAGAATAGATATATTTGGCTGGTTGCACTCGGGGTTCTGCAGTCTATTCTTATATCTATTTACCTGAATGATAGGTGTTTCCACTTATCAAATCAAAATCAAAACTAAACTACGGACAATACTTCACAAACATTATGAAACGGAAATAAGAATGTCACAAATTGTTCTAAATGTAACGTGTAACAAATTGTGCTTATTAAGCCACTATTTGTGGATCATTATTTGTTTCATGATTTTTTCTGGAATCGAAATTTCTGAGAAATGGATTAAAATTTAAAACATTTAAAATCAATGTAATAAACAGTTTCTAGTGTCACTCTAGAGTAGATAGTTTCAGTCCCGGAAAATTTCTGCAAGTTATTCTGTTCCCACCAAGCCATGTCCCGGTTTTTGGAGAGGTTGTTTTTTATGTCTTTTCATTTATTTTTTTGTTTTGTTTTATTTTTTTGTCAATGACCGGATCACATCAAGTTATCTTTCTCGACCTATGATATTTTTATTCAGAGTTCAAATTCATTCAGCTGCAGAAATCAACCAGTCTTGACATTTTAATTTACATAGTAAGTTATTGAACACATCCCGGGGGACCACATTCTAGAAAATAACGTGATGAAAACTACATGTTGTCAGATCGTTATTCATCATTCATGCACATTATCTTGTTCAAAATCAACAGCATTTCGTTTCCTGCAACAAACGTGAAGCATAGTAGCCTATTATTTCACCTCTTATTTTACGATGACATAAACACAGTTTAAATTGTGGCACCAACCAGGAACAATAAACTAATCATTAGTTAAAGTAAACTCGTTAACTAAAATCTCCTGTGCTGGTTAGGGAAAATTAGTCGTCATCGTTCGTTAGTGGGGTTTAACGTCCGCTTCCCTCAATATTTCAAGTCAGATTTGTTTCCATGGAAATACAAAAAATATTGAACCCGAGCATTTTCTAATTAGCAAAAGACACAACTACTATAAAAGCTTGATATGTGTACAAAGTTTGGGAGCTGTGGTAACTCAGTGAGTAAGCCGTTGACTCGCTAACCTGGAGGTCTGGTGTTTTCTCTCACGGTGTTGGCCGAGAAATTCATCGCGATTTTCCGGTATGCCCCCCCTCCACACACACCTGTCAATGGTGTAGGATAAAGGCCTGGTATAAGGGACAACATAGTAGTTGTAATGGGGCGAAAAACCGAGGTCCCACGTACACATTGGCGTGCACGTAAAATAACCCTTGAAAGTTGGAATTCGGAATAAGAGTAGGCCGTAGTGCCGCTGTTCGGGAAAAAATTACCTTCATAGTCCACTGTATGGCGTATGTCTGTCTTCATTAGCCCAGTCGGTGCAGAACAGTAGAACGTTGAACCCCATTTTATTTCATTTTTGTGTACTAATTTTCATAAAGATATCTCGATCGGTTTATGAGATTTTCTGAAAACTCAAGCGAGACTTTCATCTTGCATTTAGAGTAACGAAGTGGGATTTTCGGAAAAAATCAAATTCTGCACGACTTAATCCGCACTAATCTGTACTGATGTTTAACGGCGCGGGATGTCGTGTTCAACGTGTACTTTGTTTTCATCTTCTGGTATGCCACTTTAAGAATAAGAATAGAATATGATATGTACTTAGTTGTCACTTTCGATTTCTTTTCAAATATATTATCTTATAAACCAGATCCTGATGATGCTTATCAATGATTTGAATCGTCTGGGTTTTCATTGGCTATATGATGAAATAGTCGTTTCCATTATCTGGTGTAATATAAAAGTTATAGAATCTTTGACTCCGTTATCTGATTTGCAATGCCACAGCTCGTGTATAATATCCGTCTTTAAAGCGGTAAGATGACGGTATAAACGTGGTGCTAGTTATTCAGGAGTTTTCAGCATGGTGTATAACTGTCAATGGTGCAGGACATAGGACCTGGCAATGGACAGGGTCTAATCGGTCGAATAGGACGAAAATCCGAGGTTTCGTGTACGTTGATGGTTGGAATTCGATGAAGGGTAGGCGGAAATCCCGCTGTCTGTCGTCATTATCCCCATTGGTGCATAACATTTGGACGGTAAGCATCCTATTTAAATTCATTCCAGACAGTTTGAATCAATACCCAGAACCACTGTTAGATCCTTTGACAACCAAACTCGCTAAAGACTGCTCGATTCCAAAGCCCGAAGCATAGGCGTACGAGCCAGGGGGCAGGGGGGCAGCTGCCCCCCTAACTTTCAGGCAATCTGACTTTTCGGGCAGACGGGTAAAGTGATAAAAAAACATTTATTTCATCTACATGGCAAAATAAAGTGCCCGAAAACTAATAAAACACTAATTTTACGTGTTGGAATAGCAGGAAAACGCGTTTGCGGCCGTCAAATATTCCAAAATTTTCTTGGGGGGTCCATACAAGGTCAGCTCCGCTTCTTCACCTCTCGAAGAAGACCGGCGTCGCTGTCGGTAAACCCGAAATTTTTTCCGGCATTTCGGGTTCTGCGCTAATAAAACACTAATTTTAATTGAATACCACGAATTTGTACTGAGATGACGATGGATTAAAACATTTTGTCTTTGGAGTCACTTTTTTCGGGTATCGATTATTATTTGTGAATGCAGCTGCAACAGTCTGAATGGATGGGTGGTATTCAGAGGAGGTTTTCAGTTACAAAACCATTGGACACTTTTGGAGTTGCTTTCACGGGCTAGAATAGCAGAAAACGCATTTGTGGTGGTTAAATTTTCAGGCCCCCATATCCCGCGACAATTGATTGGTTGATTGGAATTTGGGTCAGCCAGGTAGGCTACATTGAACCACGTTGAATTTGTTGTTTTCACAGACTGGAATAGCAGGAAATCCCGTTTGCGACAGTCAAATTTGCTCCCAACAGTCCCGTCTTCGTGGACTGTAACCGATTGATTGGAATTCGAGTCAGCCACCTTAATAAGGATATATTATACCACTTTGAAGTTGCTTTGTTCACTGGCGGAAATAGCCGGAAAACGCGGGGGGGGGGGGGCACTGTCTATAAACGCAATTTTTTTTTCGAGCATTTCGGGTTCTGCACCCCTAAGTGTCATCACACCAGAATTCGTCCAAATGATCAAACTTTGCTTGCCTTGAAGCAGTGTTAAAGAGCAATATCAGCTCATTGACATTAAACAAACCATGAATTGCCACAAATGACAGCAATAAAATTATGGTCGATTGTGTTCATTGTCCCCTATACCCCCGCCTTGGATCTGCACATGGATCAAAAATGATCATTCCCAGCAGACATTTCATGTATTTATTGCTAGATCTAACCTAAATGGTACATACGAACAACATTTTTTTCATTAACCGTCCAATTTGCAATGTGCAATGTCATATTCTTAACAAAACAACCATAATTCTGGTCCATGAAAACTTTATTATATTTTTTCTAAAAAATATGTAAATTTATGTATTGGGGCCCTGGTCATTGGAAAGCAGGCCGTTTCATCAATATAATTGCTGTTATTCAATCGACATTTCTCTGCAATCTCCCAAAGATATGCAATTTGGAGTATTGTCGATAAGGAAGACAGTCAATAGAAATAATTCCATCTCGGCTCCGATTGGAAGGATGAATTTGCTCATGAAGCTTGTATATACAAGAAGCTATAGTTTCGAATGAAAAATACACGTATTCGTTCTTTATTGTTATTCGATTATTGTATAGGATGTATGTTTTCTTTAAACAAAAAGAAGTCCCGGGTGTTATCTATTCGCCATTCTTTGACAACCCAATCTTGATTCTTTTAAATACGTTTGACAGTCTTGTGTTGGGTTTCGAAACATTAGCAGTGTTAAAGATGACTTTGGACGTTATCTACTGAATACCAGACAGAGTAAATTATACTTACATTACAGGACCTAACACATTCAGTTAAATCAACTGTCAAACTCGACTTCAATGGTGAATAGTTTTTTGTTTAAAAGCAGATAAGTAAATGATTTGGAAACCAGAAGTAATTTCATTCAACATAATAATATTTAACGCTGATAATTAAAAGTATTGAAAAAACAGTGGAGGAGATAGAGTTCATTTCGGCCGTGTATTTGGGCACCGGGTTTAACGTCCCCGTAACGCAACTAGGACATGTTATTGGTTCCTTTTTTGACAATCACCATAGATCGGGCACCATAGAAAGTGCATCTGATCCCACACCGACACACAGCAATTCAGAATAAATATGGCTATTTGAAGTTTACATCAGTTTCTAGTTATTTTACACTGCGATCTTTTATACCTTTGTAATCATTAAAATTATAATTTGTATTTACTGGCATCGAGGTATTGACACCCAACCCGCACTTTGATTTCAAGCTTCTAAATTCTAATCCAAATCAGCTTTTATCTGCCTTCAATTTAGATGCTGTCAAGCTTCCTCTTATTACTGTTCCACGATGGTGATTTTAAGTGGATGGTTATTTAATATGGAGCATGGGCTATATTAAAATATTCGACCAAAGAACATAAAACCCATGAGATTTTTTAGGAACTTTCTTTATCGTCAATTATGGTAATTATGTAACTGATATGATTGATTTACAATCAAGATGTATTAATCTGGAATTTCTTACGCCCAATTCCACAATTATTGTAATTTCTATGCAACGCTCGGTGATTTTAGTATCAATATATAGATTCGGGCAGGAAAACAGGACTTTTTGTATTTTATGAAGACCTTGCTACGAGTTACAAACTATTGATTCTCGAGGGTGTGGTCCGGAATTAAGTTAAAGAGAAAATTAGCGTTGTAATGGTTTTTATAATGAAATTGTCAATAATGAAACGATGTGGGCTTAATGTACTCTGTGATACCATTAATATCATTACGAGTTACTAAGTATATATGTTTTAGCCGCCCGATCATCCGGCTTACTGATCAATAATTAATAGGGGTAAACTTTGTATACTTTAACACATGAGAAATAATTATTCCGGTCAGGAAGAAATTATTTACTGCCTATACTAGTACAATATAGCCTGGTGGAAAGGCAATCTGATTAAAACACAGATCCTATTTCGTTGCGTTTTTATAGTTCAAAAAACGAAACGAAATATAGATCTGTATTTTAATCAGATTGGTGGAAAGTTGGATTCACCCCATCGATAATATCAAAGACTTTATTTTGGTCTTGGACATTTTGCCCCATTAATATAAATGGAATAGTTCTGAACCCCCTTTCTTCCATGTGGGATCGGGTTTTGTTTTCCGATTTTCTATCTTTCCTTACAACCAGAACGCCTTGATTAAATTCGTTGCTCCTTGGGAATTTTATATAGACCAGAAGTGTCTTCCGATAATGCACAACGAGAACCCTTGTCCAACAGCAATAATATATACGAGCGTATATATATATAACAATACGTGATCTTGGCACTGGAGCGTCTACAAACTAAAGGAAAAGAATACTTTTGAGAACAACCGACATTTAATACGGGTGCTGGTCTATGTATTACAGTGTGCGTGAGTGATATAGCCTATTATACGCAATGCATAATAATCAGTAGAGGAGATACGAAATACATATTAATATGATTATAAGAAATATAAAATCTTGACCAATATAAAATATAAATATGCTTTATGTAATAAAGCTAACGTATTTTATGTAATAAAGTGAGCGTTGAGGATACCATACGGAGCGCCAATCTGTTTCACAGATTATTATGGAAGTCTTCTAATACCTCTGTAAAAGATGACTGCCTTCAACACATGACGTCATATTACGCGGCGTCAATCATTGGCTCAATGGCGCGTGCTTTGTTTACACAAGACGTAACTGATTCGAGCAGAATGGCGCCTTTTACTCATTTTAATACCCATTTACACTAATATATGAAATAATTTTGACCTACAAATACTTCAAACGTCTTCATTTATTTTTCTAATACATAAACAAAATATTTTAGAATTTAATTTGTCGGATGACAAAAGTTAGTATTTGTGGCTCATTAAGTCGCATTGATGTCATCCTTATCAGTGATTGTTGCGGCCAAGCAACAACACATTCAACAACATTGGTATTAGCCTATTTCTTTTCATCAATAAATACATTACTTTAAATCAAGAGAACCCCGAAGGGCTGGAAAGATGGAAGAAATGGTGTAAATCCAACATAACACTAAAGGTGTCTGATTTTTTTTTTTAAAAATCACTAAAATGAGACATAAAGCTAAATGTTTGGTTGTTGTTGATAGCGTTTATGATTTTAATCTAGATTAAATCTTCCGATATATAAACTTGTAACGTCTGAGCTGGTATTCCCCCGATTTTACATCCGATTCCATAAAAGATTATACATGTAGTACATATATTTTTGTTCTATGACTTAAATAATAGTTTTTGTCCTCATTCCGCTAGAAAATATATGGACACCACGATGGCTCACTAACCAAGATGTCCCGAGTTCGAGATAATTTTTCAGTCTTGTAGTTCGGAACGTCGAGGTCCCATAGTTCGTCAGTCTAGTAGTTCGAATGACACGAAACCGCGAAGTCCCATGTACTCATTGGTGTTCACGTAAAATAACCATTGACAGTTGGAATTCGATGAAGGGTATAGGTGGAAACTTCACTGCCGAACACAATTTCCTGCATAATAGACATGGCGTATGCCAGTCTTAATTAGCCGATTGGGAAGCCGATGTGGCTCTGTAATGTGGCTCTGTAAGGCGCTGACTTACTAAGCTTGAGGTTCTGTGTTTGACACAGGTGTTGGCCTAGAAAGTTCCATCATGATTTTCCGGCGTGATGGAGGTTATACCCCATTTATCTAATATGAATAACTGGTATTCTGTTGTGTTGCCCTGTTAACACTGATATGGTAATATCCACACATTTAAGACCACCCTCTAAAATCATATATTTTATTTATAATGCATATACTCCATAGCATGATTCAACACAATTCTACCTATATTTACACGGAATCATTAGAATTATATAATTTAATGCTTATTTTCACACACAGTGTATATCATTCCATCTCACTCATCCCATACACACACATATTTTATTAATGTCTATTCCTATATATTAAAACTGTTATCAAGTTTGCACATTAAATAGAATTATACACTTTTCAATAAGTTATTTATATGTACAGTTAGATTCACAGTACGTTGAGTGGTGGGGAACCATTTACCAGAAGTTTGTGTGTTTCTTTTGTTTTGTTTTTTTTTTGGGGGGGGGGGGGAGCGCAAAATGTTTTTCAAAAATTCCCAAATGGATACCAGGTTAGTCAAAATCTAGATTGGATTCGATAGCTTTAGGCTCATAACACGGATCAGAAAGGTGATAATTAGTTCATGGAATTTGGATATGACCCAACACTGAATGAAAAGAACATACAATAATTTTTGAATTTCTTCGAAGTCCAGGTGCCTCCCCTTGTACTGTAGTTTTGGGAGATCTCTATAAGAAAATAATTATTCTAAAGGGCCCTAATCAAAAAAAGAAACAAAAAACCCCACTAAATCAAATCTAAATACTGAACCAATAAAGTTAGATGTTAGAGCAAAGTCAGACAAATAGAAGTTCGTTGATTACTTCAAACACTGAATATTTTATCATAAGACAGATAATAATGACAGCTACTCAAATCAACTTTTACAAAAATGAGGTGTCCCCATTCAAGTTATATCCTTAATTAAAGAATGTGTTACTCGAGTAGCTTAAAAATTGTGATGTATATAGCAAATTTCTTTAGTTTCAATTGACAATTGCAGCTTGTGGTTCCACCATTGTCGTTATGTGTTTGAAAGCAGACAGCTAGAAAGTTTTTAAAAGTTGATTCTAGTAGCTGTCATCATTATATATCTACCTTTTTGTTCATGTAGAAGAGACTGATAGATAATCTTCTTTAAGCTCAAAAGTATAGACACACTAAACAATGCATAAAAAACCATGTAAACAATGTTCTTGGAAGCTAAAATAAATATTTATATCTATTATTCAACCAGGTATACTATATTCTTCTAAGGTTTCAGGAGAATCAGATTCGGTTCCCATACTTAATTCTTCTAAGGACATGGATATAGAACTGGTTTGATTTGTACCATCAAAAGCCTGCTTGGTATGTTCTCTAATTCGGTTCATGAGTTCTTCATTATATTGCTTGGCTTCACTTAAAACAGATTCAACCTGTTTTGTATTAATAGAAGGATAAGCGGATTGGTTTTCATAGCGAGACAAAGCTGGTGTCATAAAATCATGTGGATCTAGACTGCCAGGGGTGATTCTCGAATCTCTGTATACAGAAAGGCGTTGCTGATCTAACAGGAAAGACAAAGGTCCTTCACTCAGCACATTGCTATCACTATCCATTGTTCTTTCAGTAACTCGCGTCAAGGAAGAAGACCGACCTTCAGAATTTGTTTGGTAACCAAGCTCTCCCGATTCCAAAGAATCCAATCTGGAAGCTGGTGTTGATAGATGACTCAACTGATCTGAAAGTCTACCACCAATACCAGATATCTGACTATTGTTCAAATGAGATGTTCCACTACCTCTTACATGGCTTTTGCTACTGAACTCCAATGCTCTTTTGGCTGCTGGTAGACTGGATGAGGTTCCTGAAATAGATTTTTGACCAGGAGATGCTTTCTGCTGAGAGAGTGGAGTAGCTACTTCTTCAATGGTGCTGAGTTGATGGTGATCATGATTGTCCACCAAGAAATAACCTCTGGTTACAGGAGGTGGTTGTTGTAGGGCCTCTTTCTCAGTTTCAGCTTGCAGGAGCTCAGCCCAGGTTAATCGTTTGGATCTTGAGTCATTTTGGGACAAATCCCCTTCCTCAATAGACATATTAGCTGTGGACTGTCTTTGGTTACTAGATTCATGACAAACTGGTTCAGTATTCACCTTTCGTAATTGGTCAGTCATTTGTCTAAGCTTTGCTTTCACCTGATTTTCCAACTGAATCGTTTCTTTGGGAGGAGATTTCTGTTTGGAAGCACCTTTTACCTTAGATGTAGAAGCTACTTCTTTGCTTTTTGGTTCAATGACTTTAGAATGAAAACTGAAACGCTGTTCTTGAATTTTTTCTTGACCCTGGTGATATTTCTGCATGATGTCATTTTTCTGCTTCTGTATTTCTTCCAGCTGGTTCTTCAATTCTTGTTGGCGTGTTTCACAGAATTTCTGTCTTTCTTCTGCAAGAGCTATTAATGAAGAACCTGGTCCTGAACTTACCACTGAACGATTTGTATTGTCTAGCTGCGGACTACCTCTTTCTGAACAGGATGCTAAAGCATCCCCTGCCTCTGATTCTAAATCTTCATCTTTCCCAATTTGAATTCCCAAAAAAGAATCTTCTTCGTCAAAAGGCAAGGATTTTCGGATGGATTCTAGCTTATTACTTGGAGCACTTTTATCATTTTTATCAAATTGCACTGGCTTCTCGGATTCTTTTTGCTGTTGATGATCTTGACTCACCTTCTCATTTAGTTCTTCTCTTCTCTTTTTAAGATCTTCTCTGGACTTAGCTAGTAACTCCTTACGTTTTTCATTTGTTTCTAGTAACTTATTTTGATATTCTCTAACTTTCCTCAACTGATCCATCTGCCGACTTCCAATATTAGAGTCTATTGGTGGAGGTGGGGCATAATTAGAATAGGGTTGGAACAGCACTGCACCTCGTCCAGAATAATCAAAATTACTAGCAGGTGGAATGACTGGCCGGTGTCCTGTGGAATATGATAGCTGAGACATAGATAAAGGCAGTGGTGTAGCTCCAACTGAATAAGTGTGAGGGTGGATGGGAGTTGGACCTTGGGGGTAAACTTGCTGACCTATAATTGTTTGTTGACTAGGATAAACACTTGATGGTGGTTTGGATGCTACAAACTGGCCCACTGATGAACCCATGGAATGAGTCTGAAATTCATTTGTCAGTTGCGGCTGATATGACATTTGGGGCTTTGAATGTGGGTAAGAATCTCCTTGTGGTGCCATCATGATTTGGGCAGGATAGTGCTGAACAGGATAACTCTGATGGCCAACTGTTCCAAATGTATGATCTGGAATTCGGGGAGCAAAGGTTGGACCATGGGTTTGGGAGACTGGAGCTACTGGTTGTGAAAGCTGTATTGGTACATTTCTTGTCAATAACTGTTCTGTCACCATCTTTGTCTGTACCTCTCGCAATTTTTTTTCTTCCTCTTGCAGTTTGATTTTTTCCTCTAGCATTAACTTCTGCTCCCTAAAATAATAAAAATTAAACCTTTATAAAAAAATAAAATAAAAAAATTCAAACTGCTTACATTGCATATTGGCGCATTGGTCAATTGCAAGAGAAATCTGCAGGAAAGGTATAGAAATGAAATCAGTTTAACGTTTCACAATTCAGCATCAACATGAAGACAGGTCTGGCCGAACCTGGACAGTAATTCCATGGCCTACTCTTATTTCAATTTCAAACTATGAGGAGTTCCTTAAAGTGCCACCAAAAGCATATGTGTGACTTTTTTTTTGTGTCCCATCAAAACTTTTAGACACAATTCCTCAGCAAGGCCCTCAGTCCAACAGCACTGACAAGTGGAAATCAGAATAGTAAAATTATGAAAATTTATCAGTCAACAGTGGAAGCACTTGATTCACAGATATACTATTTGAGTATAACACATTCAGATCACACTTACTCTATTTTTTGAATTCTTTCTAATAGTTCTTGAAACTGAAGTTCATTTTCAATAGATTTTTCTTCCACGTCTTTTTTAACAGGTACTGGAGACTAAAATATATATTGTATTAGATTAAAATAAAGCAAGCAACTAATAATCTGTACATGGTCCATAAATTCATGGGATATAGTTATTCTTGTGTGGAAAGTGTTGTAAATAAGCTAATTTGTTTGCAATCTAGTCCATCAGATCAACTGAACTCTTGTCCAATAAGTGTTCTGATTCTCTGATGTCATCTCACATCATTCATGAACATTAATAAATAAAATGGGGAATAGTGTATAGCTTTTCTGCATCAACCTAGCTGATGAAAAGGGGCATAGCCATGCAGTGTGCTATGAGAGCAGTTTGGTGGGCAGAAGCTTTTCTCCCTATTCTTCATCACATTCTAACTGCCAGGAGTTCTTTTATGTGTGGACCAATGACCACACATGCAGACCTTGTCTTTTCTTCCCATCAAAATGACTAGACCCTTTTCCTGGCCAGCTTCTCCATCCTGCAGTGACAAAGGCAAAGCTAGCTGGAACATCTGAAGGATCTTTCTTGGCCAACACCTTCCATTCTGTTATGTTGTGATTATTACCTTGTGAATGGTTGGTTTATCACATGGTGATGGTCTTACTGGAGATGGGGAAGGTGATACAGAAGGAGAGTTTTCTTCTAGCTGATGCCATTTTGTTCCATTTTCTCTATCTTTTTTATCTGCTTCATTTTTATTTGACATGGAATATTCAGAGAGAGACGTCACTTCTATAAAACAAAATTTCAATAAAGAAAATTAACATATTCTCATTCTTTAAGGACAATTAAACATGTTTTAAATATAATTTTAACAGAGATCATTGCTATGATAGATGTGTAACAATGATTTGAAGAAACGGAAGTGACGAAAGCAAAAGGAAAACATGAATTATCCTTCTATATAACTGACTGAAGTAATGAGCGATAACAGATTCATGGACAAATTTCTGCTCACTGATAATTCCTTCGAAGACCAAAAGTTGTTATATGAGACTGTCAGAGCATATCTGACAGTTTGTAAAAAGAATTGACTGCCACTAGATAAGTTCATGGATGTACTCGAGATGTGTGATAAAACCAATTTTGGTATTAATGTGAACAGTGCCCACCCCCCAAAGTGGAAGTGGTGTCTTCAAATACGTTACTGTGGGTCCTAAACACCTATTTATTAATTCCAAACCTCAAACTTTGTACGTACATGAAATGTTAATTAATTCTTTACTAGCTGATGGACTTAGTAGCATAGTTATTATGTTTCAAACAGAGTGACAGAAAGATGATCACGCTTGATGGAACAGACAGGTGAATAAATTTTATTTTTCACTGGCTTTCTTCAAAAGAGATAAATACAAAATTTACCTTCCCACATCTGTTGATATTGTTCAACATCATATTCTTTAACTTTAGTAGAAAACGTTTTCTTAGGTTTTATTTTCTTCTGTTTTGTATGAGTTGATGGTACATCTAAATGGGAGGTCTCTAGTTTAGATCTGGATGTGTGCGCGTCTTTCTGTTCTTTTATACGATTCAATAATTTCTTTAATACAGTTTCTGTAGAAAAGAAAAAGCACACAGACGTTAAAGAGGTTTTTTTTCAAGCAGAACTTTTTATAAAACTCTTCTAGATTGCTACATCTTGGCCTAGTATTTAATCTTAAACCATGACTTAAAACGGTTCAATGGGCCGAACAGTCAACAGCAGTTGATCAACAGATCTTAAAGTACAAGATGTTAGATAAATGGATAACAGATTTAGAAGGTCACCTGGGCCAAGATTGTGGATTTCTTTGAATAATAAGTTATCTGCATAATGCAAACCAAGATCTTTTGAACCTGAAAGTCGTTTTGCAGAGAAGCAGGATTCTGCTTTTTAAATAACTTTACTGAAGGGATGACAAGTGGTATTTAACATGGAGTGGTTATGATTTCTACATTATGGAATATTTAAATGTGCTCTGTGTGAACTGATTTTGTTTTTGGAGCAGATCTCATAGAACTATTCAACATATCTTTATGTAACTTATTTACTATAACCATCATGTTAATTGTTTGTTAAACTTACATTAAGAGTCTCTGTTGCAACTAGTATGTACTTCTATGGGGTTATTAACATCCGGACGACCAATGGGAATGTTAAAAGTTGGTCATAACATTTAACCCATATTTGAGGTCAAAAGTAGATTTTTTAAAAACTGTTTGAGTAAAATTAACATTAAACACAGAGTGTGACATCATAACAATTTTTTGGCAATCCAGAGGTTAAAGTGACATATTATGGTGGATTTTCCCCATTATTATCATACCTCTCTTTCCATTATCTACTGATTCTCCTTCACTCTGGGCAGTATTAGTTGTATTTTGTGATATCTGACCAGTCTGTGATACAGTAGGTATGCGTACAGGTGTGTTGTGAACAGATAAATCAAGTACATCTGAAGCTGTGGGTGTAGCTGGTTCTGGTTCCATAGATATCAATAAATCATCTTTACATCTTTCTATTTATAAAAAAAAGCATGGTTTACGTAACTTTCCTGTAGCCCCAAAGCGTCACATTATGATTCATATATCAATGTCTTAGAACACAGAACATACTGGGGATGCTTGATGGTCCATCCCATATGCTCCGATTACTGTCAGAGTTTAATCAGTCCCTAAAACTGAGGTAGTGTGAGTAGAATCGTGACATATCTAAACAACAAATCTTGTGACTGACATTTTTTTTTTCAAGCTGCTGGTGGCCTCTGTACACAAGGGTTAGGCAATTTAATAGTCGAACAGTCAAGTGTTAACAGTTGCACCTCATTGATCAAATTGTTTCAACAGAATTTAGAAATTGAACAGGAAATACACAGGAAACAATTACTGTTTATTACTGAGCAACATTTCAACCTGGATTCTCTAGTCTTTAAAGCAAATGATAAACTCAGTAATAAACAGTAGTTGTATATCATAGAATAGTGTTTTGTGTAGGTACTTATTGTACAAGTAGATTAGACCCTGTATAGTTCTAGCACAAGGTAACAATGAATGTAGTTACATCCCTAACACATTTGACCACACTAATGATAATATTTATCCCATTTCAAAGTTTCACCCTTCAAAATAAATTCTAAAAAATTCATTTCCCATCTTACATACCATTACCATCCATATACAAGTCTTCAAAATCTTTCTCCATATTTCTTTGTTTCTGGTCTTTTTCTACAATCCGTCTGGCAGGAGGAATAAAAACTTGTTTCTGAAGAAAAAAAACCAGACTAAAGGTCATCATAAGGGCAAATGATATAGGCCCATGTAAAATTCAGAACCACATAGTTGTTATTCTGAAAATGAATATCAGAGTCACATTAATAGGAATGGGGATTATCTTTCCATAGGTTGATGTACCATGTTAATGATCAGAATAAGCAGGGGTGGGAATTGTATGATGTTATAAAATTACATATTTTGTTTAATAATTTAAGTTTTTATATAAAGAGATCCCATCTTATCAAAGATTTATGTGAAAAGTCGGCTAAGTCCTAATTCCATAATATGGGAAATCTAACTGAACAGAATAAATGCACATGATGGGAACTCCTGCTCTAGACAATGCTACTAAAGACTGTGTTTATACAAATGACTAATTTGAATAATTAAATTCTATATATAACTGTTATTCTGGTATGTTGTCGCTTTAATAGTTAAAGACTATGTACAACTTACAGGTAAATTAGCTACTATATCTTGTCGTCTTTTTCTATCAGCTCTCTGTAGTAAACTCAGATCTTCTACCAATGCATCATATTCCTAAAATAAAATCTCATTTGATATAAACTGTACAGGGTTTATGAGATTCAGAAAAAAATGTAGTTTAGTACCCATTGATTTCTGACTAGTAAGAGTTCCTTTGCATGAAGACGAACATGTACACAGGGCATTAGTTTTTTGTCCCATCTAAACAACTAGAAACTGTTCCTTGTCAGGCCCTCTTGTCCTGCACCACTAACATTATGGAATAGGCTATCAAAAAAGACTAAAGGCTCTAAAAACATGACATCTTTTAAGAAATCTCTTAAGACTGAACTCTTTAAATCTGTTTACCCTTAGTGTCAATAACTATTTTGTTTATGGTAATTTTACCAGTTCGGACATTTAATCTGTTCATACTCCTTCAATGTGTTTAAATGTTATCGTGTTATGGTAATTTTCATCTTTTAAAGATATCTTATGTAGATAACGCTCTTGAGCAACCAGTTTGTTGGATATTCAGCGCTTTATAAATATATTATTATTATTATTGTTATTAAGAAGGTGAAAACATGCTGTAAAATCATGTGGAACTTTCTACGGTGGCTCCTTATCAGGTTCAAGTTGTGAAGAAGAAGTATAATAATCAAATCAGTTTAGTAAATTTAGCATAAATACATAATAAAAGACTGCATTCTAATAGAAATTCAAAACCTACATGTTTCAAATGTTCTTTTTTAAGAGCACTTGTGCCTCGTATTTTAGCTCTAGCTGTTTGTTCTGCTGCCATTCGTTCTCGTTCTTTTACATTCTCTTGTATTCTAAAATCTTCATCTTCAGCATCTAACTTGGCATTTTTCTAAAGAAAGAAAATCAAAAGTTAAACTTGGTGTACCATAGTAACAAGAAATGAATCTTGTAAGATTGTGTTTGGGGTTTGAAAGTGTTGCTAACCTTCAAGACTATACATAACCCCCTTCGAGATCTCTGGGGACAGTTAAATGAAAATTCCTAAATTTACTAAATCGATGAAAATCTTAACAGATTGTGCCATAGCTGTGCTTTCAACATCGTAGAAATTCTAGGAATAGGAGCCCCATTTTTATTCTCGACATCATAAACTCCATAAGCGAAAAATATGGGTTCCCAGAAAAGTATTTGTCGGGTGGCTATTTCCAATAAAAGTATTACTTTGTTTTAAGATTCCATCGGTCAAATTACGCTCAATTTTATAATTCTTGAAAGTAAAAGATGGGTTCCCAGAAAAGTATTTGTCGGGTGGCTATTTCCAATAAAAGTATTACTTTGCTTTAAGATTCCATCGGTCAAATTACGCTCAATTTTATAATTCTTGAAAGTTAAAGATGGGTTCCCAGAAAAGTATTTATCGGGTGGCTATTTTCAATAAAAGTATGGTAATTTTGGTATATATGGAAGTAGAGATATCCAATCTTACTAGAAAAATACTGGATTCCCCGAAAAACACTCATGGAGCGTATACAGGACAAAAATGTAAGGCTTCCCCTAATCGACAGCCTGACGATTAGGAATTTCTGCACGTGTGATGTCAAAGGTCACACGTGAACATTGAGCGCTTGATGTACAAGTTGATAAACTATATGAAGATTTAGACATACAACACTTTCTGAGATAAAAATGACGGAAAAAGACGCGGGTAGTGGATAATCCGCAAATTTAATTAGGATTCGATATTTGTAATAAATAGTAAGCGATTAAAAGATAACATCGTCTTATGTATGCAATGAATTCTCCTCTGACTTCCAAGAGAGGTAAGTCATGTGACGTAAACATGACCTGGTTTGATCGAATTTTTAAAGCAGGGCATTCCTTCGCAATTATAATGTTTGAGAAGGATTTGAAGCAAAATTATGACAAATTAATTAGTTTGAATATGTTTTTAGTCCATATATACCACTATATCACCCAGTTTGTACACGGGAATGTATCTTTAAATGTTTTAAACATAGATTATTTACTGCACAGATAGTCACTAAGATTTTCTTTATGGTAACTGATGTGTGTTTTAAACAAACAAAATTTAGTAGCCATTGTTATGAATGAACTGACCTGTTCTTGTTGATTAGCTTTAATAACAGCATACTCAGGCATATGATAATGTGTAGCAGAAAAAGCATTCATATCAGTCATCAATACTGGTTTATTACCTATAACATAAATTGTATAGTTAATTAAAATCAGTAATGTAGGGTATTGTCACTCCCACCAACAACATAATAGTCAGACTCGCCTAATTATCTAAAATAAAAGAACTGACATAATTAGAGTACCGGGTAATTATACATTAGTGCCTCGTTAACATAAATCACTCCGGGAAAAATCTGAAATGTAATTTAGTATTTTCCACCATGTTTTGTTAATTATAATTAGCTAGGAAAAGTCAAGAACATAAAACTGATTCTTTGTCTGATTACTCCAGAGATTTAAGAAACATTAAGAATAGCTAAACTTACTCTGTATGACATCTTCAACAGGATCTTTAGGAGGGGGAGGTAATGCTGCTATTTCAGCTGCACGATACTTTTCTATAGCTATAGCTGCTTTTCTAAAATATAAAGAAAACATATATCTTAAATTCACTGATATGCATTTTTTTGATCTAATTTTTCACAGTAAAATTAAATCAAATTAATCATTTTAAAATATCAACAACTGTTTATATCTCCTGTATAGGATGCCGAATTATTGCGAAATTTTTCCATTTATCATATATTTGTACATACTAAATAGAACTGAACCATTTTTCGATTGATATTGGACAGGTGGCACTATTCCTTGTCACATACAAGTGGGGAATCGAAACCATGCCACTTGACTCAAGGACACGCCTTCCGATCCAACATGCACGTGTTAAACCAAAAGGCCAAGCCCCACCCCCTCACTTAAGAAAACCACTATTTCATTGCTGACTTGCCTTTTTATTTAAAAATATAAAAATAGAGATGTGAAAAGGGGTTAAGTGAACATTTAAAATAAATCATCACAATATATGGTAGTTGCAACATGTGGTTAAATCAGCAATGCAAGAATCTTTAAAGACAGTGATGTTTCTGCTTACGGTACTTGAAAGGGACTTTTCTACAATTTGTACCGGGGAACTATTTTTTAAAAAATTATTTAGACACATAATCCTTGAGTGGCATTCGCCGTGTAGCGATTAAACACAATAAAAAACACAACAAGTGTGAATCAGGCCAGAACAACCCAGTCTGCAATAAACACAACAAGCGTGAACCAGGCCAGAACAACCCAGTCTGCAATAAACCCCACAAGCGTGAACCATGCTAGAAATGAAATGAAATGAAATGGGGTTTAACGTCCTACTGTTCTGCTCCAAACCTGGGCTAATGAAGACGGGCATATGCCATACAATGTGCTATGAGGGAAATTTTGCCCGGGCAACAGCACTATCGCCTACTCTTATATCAAATTCCAACTGCCAGGGGATCTTTTACGTGCATTCCAATATATACACGGGACCTCGGTTTTTCGTCTCAACCGAAGGACTAGACAACTGTCCTTGTCAGGCCCTCCGTTCTGCACCACTGACAAGGGGAAACCACGTCGGAACCATGCTAGAACAACCCCACAAGTGTGAATCAAGGTTAGAACAACCCAGTCTGCAATAAACCCAACAAGCATGTACCAGACCAGAACAACCCAGCTACACATGATATAATGCTATGAAATATTGTGTACTCAATGAATCATACCTTGACATTATTCCTTTGTTTTCCTTTAATTGTTTTAATAGTTTTTCATTCTTCATCTTCTCTAGAGCCTTCATATGTCTTTTAGTAGCTTGTTCCTGTGCTTCTAATTTCTTTTTTAATCGATCAAAACTACCATCAGACTAAAATTATATACCATATTTAATAACAGGTAACCAAATATATGATGGAAGGGAGGGGCAGGGATGTCTTATCAATAAAACCTGACTGTATTATAGCTACCATTGGATACCCTCAGGGATGTGAATCTACAGAGTTTTAAGAATTGAATGCTTAAGAATTAATCTTGTTGATGATAATCGATTATTTGCATTATTGATCATTTTCTTCAAGATCTATAAGTTCATCATCATCCATCATCATCTTCAACAATTTATTTAGCGTCCTTTTCATAAAATGTTCAAAAGCGCTTCAAAATATAATAATTATTAGTATAAAATAAGCACTGAGCCACCTGATTCAGTAACACAAAACTGGTTTGTAACAGTAATACCAAAGTCATTTGCTTCTCTTCTACTTACATGTTCTTGAGCTTCTTTATGACCTTGACCTATGTTTTTCAGAGTATTTTGGTACTGGTCTTCCAATTGGCGAATTTTTTCAATCTTATCTCTTTCAAGATCATTCTAGAAAAATAAAACAATTATTATGCTTACATAAAAATATTTGGCCTAGAAAAAAATACAAAAACAAATATTCTAATCCATTGAATTACATTGCAAAAATATTTGTTTGAAATTGTTAATAGAACGATGGAAGGAGAAAATTTTGTCTAGCTTTCACACAACACCAATATCCAATTTTCATGGCTTAATCAAATTCATTATTTAACATTTAATCAAGAAAACAAAACCAAAATATCAACAGTAGATGATCTCCTGGCCTGGATTAAATCAGATTAACATGAGTTTACAGAAGATACCGACTGGTGCAAAATATTCAATTCATCATATATCTTAGAAAATATTGAGCAGAAACAAACCATTTTTGTACTGATATACTTTTACAGATTTAACCAATGATGAAAAATCCCTAAAATGTTGATCAAACGCTTTAAATAGACAAACTTTGAGCTCAAATATGTAACAGAATTTCTAATAATTTTGTATGTATGGCTATATTAAAGGGGCATTATGTAAGATTTAGATAAAAGATTTGTCCGTTCTGACTATATTTCAAATAATAGATAATGCAAGATATTGAAAATTTTATTCAAATTACTTTATTTTGAGTTAAGTTATCAATGCTTGTAGTTTTGATGAGATGTGTGCATTGATTGTAACCACCGCACTGGTCATTCGAGTCTTAGCCTCGCTTGTCCATCAAGAGTTGATTATTGTCTTGTCATGTTAATAAATGTCTAATTAATGTAACATTTAAGGTCCAAAGTAAGACCTGCAATAGGCAGGCAGATTTAGCTCTTACATAATGATGTCTGTTTTTAAGCACAATTTAAAACACTGGACTGAGTCAAAAAGAAATGTAATGGGGTTTATTGCGCTACTGTTCTCTTTCGACGTAAAAGAAGACCATGAAGAATGAGCTCTTACTTCAATCATTCGAGCCAACTTTATCAACTGCTTTTCTTTTTCTTTCCTCACATCTTCTCTTATGGTCTTTGCATTTTGTTTGGCTTGTTCACGAACCTAAAATATTTCAGACCTTCTAATATTCTAATTCTTCAAATAGGACTATTTGATAACAATTTAAAAATAATATTGAACATCTCAATTTGTAGATTAATCAGAGCCTTATGTTTTTGTGAGTTTTCAGAAATAAAACCAATTGATTCTAATTTCAGTGTTCTTTATAAGTTATTATCTGAAGCTAAGGTTCTTTTTTTTATATTAAAAAAAACAACCCAATTAAATTTAATCAAATACCTGAATTAAACGTAATTTTCTTCTTTTTTCTGTCTCTTCTTTGACCAGTCTGTTCTCCTCATTGGGACTAATTCTATATGTTCCTTTGCCCTTCATGGTTGAAAATTTTGGGGGGAGAATTTCTAGTTGATTTGTGCAGAATCAGTTAATAGGTTAATCTTTTTAGGCTAATCTGCAACACAAAGTAAGTATCATTTGATCTAAAACTACCGGTGTTTTTTTTTTTTAGTCATATATTGCTCTGCATGACAAATAATAAAAAATAAATCTATAAGCTTACTGGGCTATAGCTATGTAGGTGTTTCATCACAAAACTGTTTCACCCTGGGCTGTCTCATGGATCCGCTTTGTAGGTTAAATAACATTTAATTAACTGAGTGAGAGTTCAGCTGTATTTAAGGTTTAAATAGGAAGCCAGATAAACAAACAAATAGGCTACAATTAATTACTTTGTTTTGATCTAAACTTGGATGATTTCTTAGCTGGTAAATTATGTTTTTCATAATAACATATAAAATTTATGTGTTCACCTACATGTGTAATTGATTAACTCAGGAAAAATGTAATACTTGATTTAATTTTATGATAAAATATTATTAATATGCATTTATCTCGGGTAGCATGACAATGATTTATATCGGTATTTGATAATGTACTGTTCTTTATGCCAAATTGTCATGTTTAAACCATATTACGTTTTTGTGTCAAAAATGTCCCTCAAAATGTGATTTGAATGTTATAACCAAGGGACAAAACTAGTGTACTGCAGGAAATCAGTTGTTTTGAAATTGTATTTTTGAAACAAAAACTATGCTATTCTAAATTAAAAATGCCAATTTGGCATAAAGCACACCATGCTTATTTTATTAAATATAGATATAAATTATAATAATGGTGGATTTGATGGATTTATTATTAACTCAAGAAAAATATGATTCTCTATACATTGTAACTGATATAAAGTTATTATTTTTAGTATGTTATTATTATTTTTAATTTACGAGATGAAATTGTACTATTACTTAGTTAGAGATGGATAAAATTTTCTGGGATCCAATAGCCAGGGGTAAAACGGTTTTGGAATGAAGTTGGAACTTTAGAAAACACTCTGAGTCCCTCTCGCTTTTCTGAAGACTTTTGGCTTTCCCCCTGGTCTATGATCAGGATGTTACACAGTGCACCAGTATTTTTTCTATTTTTACACTAACCACGGCACTTCTCCTTTTAATTTTTTGTACATAACAGCCCACATGTTTTGGGTTAGGGTTACTGCCAGTGCCACCGTTGCACTGAAACGTCAATGCCAGACTTTCCAAGCAAGCAATGATTAGAAAGTCAAAAGGCAAAAGGGCAATTTGAATTAGGAATACATTGATATACGATCTATTTGCACAAAAACCAGGTCAAATAACTAATAATATAGGCCTAGATCACTGACATTGTGAGCAATACAATAAATTAAAAATATCATATGAATGGAATGAAAACAAAAATATCAGTAAGCATAGTGTACTGTAGTCTCGGTGTAGTCTGTAGATAATTATCTATGGTCTAACTAACTAAAAGTAAAACAGTAGATCTAGGCTAGACAAAATAAATAAATAAATAAAAAAAAACTTTCGGAAATATTCATATTTTAGGCCTCTTTTTCCACGTCTTCTGTAAATGTTGTAACCTAAATGTTGTAAATTAAGAAATATTATCTCACCATGTTTTCGTGCAACACTGATATATTTTTAAAAAGTAAATAGAATTAGGAGCTTCAACGAAAATGACAGAATTTCCGCTGTAAACAAAACAAGTCTGAACAAACTTTGTTTGAAGTCACCGCTAATGCAAATGGGCACGTTTCCGGTATAAAATTTACGACATCAAAATTAGTTTACAACCATGCGTTTTCGGTATGATTTATTCAATGATGATACAAATGATCAAATAATAAATATATACATTGCAAACAAGTCTATATTAACTACTTATTTTTCCAAGAAGGACATTACGGTGTCAGCAGTTAAAGGGGAATAACTCTATTTTCACTGCTCGGGTTCTTAACCACTGTCTAGATCTCGATTAAATTTTTTAAAAATATCTCGAAGCACATCAATTTGTTCAATTTTAAAGATCTAATCTTGTTATCTTTAATTAAAACAGTCAAATAAATGAAATAACATCTATCTGACACGATAGCCACCTGGAATTGTTAATAAATGAGAAAGGAACTATATTGTGACTAAATAATAAATAAATTCATACTGCATAATCATTCACACAATCTACGCAATAGGCTTTCCAAAAAATGATTTTAAAACGCGTCAATTATAGATCTACGGGACAGTATATTCAATTATTAGCATGTGAATGTCTGAGACTTTTTTTGGGGGGGGGGGGGGGTACACTTAGTGGCGAGGATGGATTATTTTTCTTATTATTAGTTCTAACAATATATTAACTCAAATTCTTCTATCCGCGTAAAGTGATCACGAGAAAATGGATATAGGCCTATTGGAGATAATTCGTTCATAGCTCCCGAATGAAATCAATTGACTTAAAGATGGCTTCCCGTGTACAAACTGGATGATTTGATGATATATTTGGACTAAAAACATATTCAAACTAATTAACCTATCAAAAATTTGCTTCAAATCCCTTTCAAAACATTGTATTTTCGAGGAAATTCCCTAAGATATAAAAAATCTATTTTTAGAGCCATGTTTGTCAACTAACTTGATTGAGGGAGGGCCCATTTACAGAATGTATTTGTCGTTCCTTACGTTCCATTTAGCCTACCAGAAACATTGATGCCTAAATAAATTCTTGGATTATCTTCTGCTAACTTCATTTTCCGCCGTTTAATTGCAACCTATCGTACGTTTAATTAAACCCCCCAATGTTCCCAAAACCGCCTAACGATTCGATCAAGAAATAACAACCGCTCCCTACGTCAAGCTGGTAGACAATAACCCGTCGGGCTGACAGTTAGTGATACCCTGACATTTTTCACCCAGTGCTTGCCCCAAGGGTGTTTTTCTGGGAATCCAGTATTTTTCTAGTAAGATTGGGCGTCTCTACTTTCCATATAATAATATACAAAATTTGAGATACTTTTATTAGAAATAACTACCCTATAAATACTTTCCCGAGAATGTATCTTTAAATTCAGCACAAAAAACAATAAATGAATAGAAGCACATTGACCATTTTCTGCTACTTTATTATTCGTAATCTAAACACATCAAATTTAATAATACACCCCCCCCCCACAAAAAAACCCAAAAAAACCAACAAAAAAACAAAACAAAACAAAAACAAAACAAAAAACAAACAAAAAAAACCAACAAAAAACAAACGCGTTTTTATGTCAATTTTACGTAGGTATAATAGTTTAATCTATTTATAAAAAAAGTTTCTTAATATATTTAATATATTTTTCTGGCCACATACCTACATTGTAAATTTTCCATCTGGGCAAGGGTTTCAATTTAGAGTTCTGGAATTTTTAAAAAGAACTTTCATGTTCAGATACTGATCTTCATTACTTTATAAGCAAATTGGTCAACAAGTGTCAATTACCCTAGTTCCGATATGCTACAAATCGACCCCAGCGCGTTTCACACCCCTGTTTTATGACCCATGGTATCATGTTCCACGTGCAAAATCCGTGGTTGGCCCGATTCCTGCATGGGCCTAATCCCAAACAGATTAACCGGGCTATACAAACTCTAGCGGTTCTTCGCGACTCACACCAGAATTCCAACTCGGAACATTCTGGTCGATAGGCCAGTGATCCTGCCCCTAAACAGTTTACAGTAATGCGTTTTGCAGAATTTTGATGGTCAAAAAAACACTAATAACATGAGTAAAGTTGAGTACTACGCATGGGAATTCATGTTATTTATTAATAATTTTGCAAGAAAGAGATGTGAATCTGTGGCGAATTAAGTGATAAATAACATCATTTGCATGGGCCTACATCTTCGATATATTGTTATAGTGAATATAAATAAATTAGTATACTTTGCTCTGAATTACCGTCTTGCCTATAGATGCAAATATTGCAGACACAGTGCTTCCACTGTGAGTGGGTCGGAAGGCAAGAAACACAAACTGGTGCAAATATACAAATGGGTTGCATTTGAATATGTAAATGAACTCATTACTGGTGCACAATCACCACGTAGTTCTGAAAATGACCTCTAGATTTAGGTGAATGGGTTTAATTAATTCATTCAATATTTATCCAAGCAATGGTTACTACAAATAGGTGAATACAATAGAGAGGGATGACATGAAATTAACCTTAAAATTTACACGCAAATTTACACGTTATTGAATCTTTAAATATATACACTAATTGATACTAATTGTTAATTACTTCTCATAAAAATGTATTGAAAAAACACAACACAACTTTATGGATAACAATCACTAGCAACTTTAATAGTGCAACGTTTCAACAAGTGTCCTCTTGTCGTTATCAAGCACAGGGTAAAAACGATAATATGATACAAAAACCTGGGAGTAAGCATTTAAGTATAAAAATTTAGAAGAAGCCACAAAGACAAGAAATATGATATCATTGTCTCTACATAGGTTAGGTTACAGGATGAGGCGTTACAAGATGTTAATAAGATCAATTAGCTGGAGTGTAAACATTTACGTGTAAGTAATAACCTAACCTATGTAGAGACAAAGAAATATGACATCATTGTCTCTACATAGGTTAGGTTATTACTTACACGTAAATGTTTTTGTATCATATTATCGTCTTTACCCTGTGCTTGATAACGACAAGAGGACACTTGTTGAAACGTTGCACTATTTAAAGTTGCTAGTGATTGTTATCCATAAAGTTGTGTTGTGTTTTTTCAATGTTAATCCTATCACTAAATGCCTTATAAACAATACATAAAAATGTAAGCTACGGCTGCCAATCAGGCCCGCAGCCAGCCTGCTGGTTGGGGAGGGGCAGTGAACTTTTTAAGGGACGAGGTGGCGTGTCTCTCCCCCTCGACGAAGGGGGATATTGGGATCCTCCCCAATGACGGATCATGAGGTCACCGGGCCCTGAGGCAGCCTAGCTGCCGAGCCCCAGTGACAAGATGACACCGTAGGGGTGGGGTCTCTCCTCTCGGGTTTTAGGGGGTCCTCCCCCGAGCAATATTTTGAAATTTCGACCTGAAATGGTGTTTTGTGTAATATATCCCGGGCGGGAAGTCGTATACTTAGTTCTGAGCAGAAAACACTATCACAGAGTGGGGGCCCCATGTGTCATTGGAACATGGCAATGGGACAGTCCGGGCCCAATAACATCGGTTCGCGGTTCTTGTTGTCAAGCGAGTTGGTTGAGTGAGATATGGGGGCCCGACGGAAATATTGGATAATTAACAAGACCGCTACCTGTCAAGCAGAAATAATATTTCGGATTTCCGCTACCAACCCACCCAACGTGAAATCGTTTATATCAATTTTTTCTGACCGATGACCCTTGGGGTCCCCTTACCTAACGATTCTAACAATTTCAAAACTCATCGAAAAAAGGCAACTATGTTTCACGATATTTGGGAAATGGGTCTTCATTATTTGTTTCTACAAAATATATTGTTTTTTCACCAAATCGCCCGACCACTTCGCGACCCGGGCCCGAGGCATTTGCCTCTGTTGCTCTGACCATGATCCGTAATGGGTCCTCCTCGGGAAAATTTGGAAAATTGGGCGGCAGCAAACGTGTTTTCCAACCCAGAAAACCGTTCTCTAGCAAACAGTGAACATAGTGACAAGACAGGGGCCCCACGATAGTGGGCCATTGGGCCAGTCAGTTCAAAATATATGGCAGATAGATGCCAGAACATAACCAATATTATGAGATTGTTTGCAAGGTGCCACATTCCCAAATCAATATGATGATCCCCGACTGTTGTCTATTACAAACAGGTATTTTAGAACTACGGTCGGCAATTTTTTTTCGGGGGCGCGAATCATCGTTTGCCCCCGGCTGGCTACGGGGATGCTGCCATGCAAATTGCAATACCTATATATTCGCATTTTAGAGTTGTATTGTGATACTTTATAAAATTACGCACTGAAAATCCCCAACTATACAAATTATTAGAGTTCAATTCGTAAATTTCCTAAATATCTAAACATAACTTGTCTAAGCGCTGTTGTGGGTTCTGGAACCACGCACAACTATATTGTCAAAGTTGAATCTCTAATATACTCTTCAAAAAAAGTAGGGGATATTCAGAAACAATACAAAACTGTGGAAATGCACTGCTGTTTATATTAGAGGTGACCAGTGTATGTTAATAACAGGCCAATTGCCTACACATGAACATGCTCCTATCCTGGGGTAATGAAGACGGGCATACGCCATACAGTGTGCTATGAGGGAAATTTTGCCCGGGCAGCGGCACTATCGCCTACTCTTATATCGAATTCCAACTGCCAGGGGATCTTTTACGTGCATTCCAATATATACACGGGACCTCGGTTTTCATGCCATCCGAAGGACTAGACAGCTGTCCTTGTCAAGCCCTGGGTCCTGCATCACTGACAAGAGGAAACCACGCCGGAAAATCTGGATGAACTTTCTCGGCCAATGCAGAGATCGAACACCCGACCTCCAGGCTATCGAACCAGCGTCTTACCCACGTGACCCCCCCCCCCACTCGCAAAGAGATACACCGTCAAAAGTAAAAATGGACGTTTTGATTTTTGTCTTAATAATGAGTAATTGCTCCACCAATCCCCAGACATTCAGCAATTCGTCGTGGCATGCTCCTAATCAACCGTCCAATCACGATTTGGGACAATCTCACCCACCCCGCTTGCAGTGAGTGCCACGGTCAATTCTTGCAGTGTTGTCGGTTGACGTTGACGTCGACGAACACGTCTCCCGATCAAATTAAACGTAACACACTAAAGCAAAGATACGCTAAACAGTAAATGTTATGCAAGAACCGATAGGAAAGCAAACATGGATAGATAAACCAGCACGCGGCAGTTTTCATCAACCCTTCTTTGAAGTGTCAAATTTGACAATGTACCCCTCCCACGTGTATGGTTCCGTTGGGGCGATAAATTCTTCATTTCGAACATACTCTCAAAGCATGTCAAGTGTCCATGACTTTTTATTATATCACAACCTGCATAGGTATTTGCATTTCAATATCCCCTACTTTTTTTTGACGAGTATATATGGCGCACTTTTACGAATTTAGGATTTAGCACAGAGGCGGTTCATTGTTTATATGCCCGCACTCGATTTGTGGTAACAACATTGTAAATTAAATTGGTATTACAGGCGAGTATGGGAGGTGTAGCCTCGTTCCACAAAATTATTTTGGAGTCAAAGTTCCACAAGAGATGATTAGAGAGCCCTAGAGAACACAAATAAATTCATTAGCACGGTGTGTGTGAATGGTGTCCATGGGTGGAAACAGATTAAGACCAAATTTGCAAAACAAGCGAATTGTAGTTAATGCCTGTGCTGATCTAAGATCATCCTCGGTTACCCAGTGTACTCATTCCGTTCTACTCTACTATACCCTGGGTTAATCTATGGGGGAGACACGTTTTCAAGTTATCCGCCCTTGATGATTGTGCTATTTTTATCGACCAATCCCATAAATTGTTATTTGAAAACGAAGTTGGCAAAGGTAAGTAACTCTCATCGGACAACGTTAGAAGTTGGCCTATTCTAAATGCGTAATTATTAACAACCAATTATATATTATGTTAATGAAGACCAGACGTTCATATAATAATGTAGGGTTATTAGTTTTATTTAGAATCGTTCGTTCGTCCCCGGAATTTTATGTCCACGTGATATCGTTGACAAGTTAAAGAAATCAAATTGCCATGTTGGTTGGTTGGTTTCTGGGGTTTTACGTCCACTTCCACCTAAGGTGATATCGTAGACAAAATTGCCAAGTATAAGTTCAATAATAATAAACATAACAGAATGACATATTTCAGACAAAGAACGAATAGTAATACTAATAACAAAAGTCAAACATATAGATGTTATACATATTTGAAAGCAACAATACATATTACAGATTTTGATAATACAATTAAATATAAATAAATTATAAATATATACATTATTTACATAGAATGGAATCGTAACTTTCGTATCACGTGTTATAGACAGAATGTATCCTTGGCCTTAGACCCCTTTTCCTGTTAATCTCACAAGGTTCTTGAGAGAAGCCAGGCGCCCCCAATATCAATATTTAGGGGAGGGGGAGTCAAAATTAGTTATGTGCAAAATAAATTCCATACTTCGATATACATGTAGACCAGGTGAGTCCGTAGGGATGCCGTCGACTGCCATCAATGCTAGAATTTGTCATGAGGTCTAATTTGATCTATTGCTGGTTCTTAAAATGAACTGCGAAATCATCCGCCCAAAGAATACATTTATATCATGTCTTCTTTGGGCGAATGATGTCGCAGTTAATAATAATTATTATATTTTCGTTAAAATTAAGAGACCCCAGATTATTAGCAGACTGTAATAATGGATGAAATTAATAATTACAATTGACTTCAATAGAATTTCTTGTTACTTACATTTTGGTGGAGGAAGCATCTCTGTGTAGGTGCACTGCACGCAACTATAACCCAGTTCTGTACTGTATTACCAGAACTCAAACCAAACCTAGATTATCAGTCTAGATTACATGAATAAAAATCAATTACTACTTGGTTACACATAGAATATCTTGAAATTACTTTTATTAAACGAAATCAATTAAATTGCCGCAGACACAGTGCTCAATAGGTAATATTGGTCTCACGGGTATCCTTTCGGAACGGTCAAGTGTGGATTGTTCATCTAAAACAGTACAAAAAATTAAATACATAGTTTAGTATGGATTTGATTTTTATTGGCTTTTTTCATCAATATTCAATAGAAATCAGTATAATTGATCAGATGTTCTGTCCTGTAATTATGTCGCTTCCAATTAATTATTGAAGAAAGAACAATGCCGCCTTTCTCAATTGCTATCAATGATTCTTTCTAATCAAGTAATCAAAGAAATCCTTGATTATCATCTGAATCTATACAGGAACGTTAAAAAAAAACCTTTGTCATAGGTAGGCCAACCTTTTTATCACTGATCGGACATATGAATGGATTTGATTAATTTAATGGACTGTAGAATTGTTTTCCAGTCCACTCCCCAATATTTATATACAGTGTACAGAACACCTTTGTCGACAAAGCTCTTCCTTATTTATTCAATGGTATGTGTATCTTACTGTACGAGCAGACTTTATATTCCCACACAATAAATGTACAGAATACTTCACGCGTGACTTTTCTTTCCTATCGGCCGACGTCTTTGTCCGTTTGTGTATGTGTACGCCCGTACAGGATTACCTGAGTCGTCAAGTAAAGTAACGCTATAACACAGACTGTATCGATTCATCGGTGAGAACTTTTAATGGACAGGACAGTTCCACAGTTATCGTCTGCTATATTACAGGTGTTATTTACGACCAGAACCTTGACAACGTCATGCGATCTCATGCAGAATTATCTGTCTAAATAACGACACTGGATCGGATAATAACGGTATAATATGATGGATGCATTTGTGAAATTAATACATATACCTGCATTTCAGTGATTGATCGTTTTAATAACTGTACAGGAATGAGTTAGGGTTGGGCGTAAAATTCAGTTTGGAAGGCAGCAATCCTCAATTATGGACGTTTTCCGATATTTAGGTGAGTTATAATTCATATAAACTCATTGATATTTTTTAGCCGATTGTAGTTGTCGACAGTCATCGTATTAGAAATGAAGTCGGTTAAAAAGGGGCCATGTGTCTCGAAAACTCGCTTGGCTGGTTTCTTATGTACACAAATGGGTGGGTTGAATGTTATTAAGCTGTTCTGTATTCTATATACAGAGACACTACTATTTAAAAAGTGGGTGTGATCTTATTCAGAACTCGTTAAACTGGATATTTTTGACAATGGAAATAGTATGTAATTACAAATTACGTAGGTGACCTAATCTCTGAACTTGTATCTTTTATATCAGATAATTGAATATAATTTATTAGATTCACATTGAATGAAAGGGGTCTGAAGGATTTAAGAGAAATACGGTGACTTGGGAGTGGTATATGCCTGCAATATAAGATACATTGTACATATCGACAAAAATATGTCCTATATACATGCAGACTGCATTAATTGGTACACGTCTTGCGACAAACACATTACATTCAGTACTTTCGACTTCTGAAGTTAAAGTTAAAAATACAGCTTAAGTTTTGATTCAAATTTTCTACAATTTTCGTCTCCGACATCGAAAATAAATAGCAGATGAACAACCAGGGCTGTAACTAGCTCAGAGCAACGAGGGGAGCGGGAAGTTTTCTCAGGGGTGCTGTAAAATTGACGGACAATGTATTAGGCTATCTATTGTTTTTATGGTCGACAATTTTTTCACAGGGACTTCGCCCCACTCTAGTTACAGTCCTGCGAACGACCATCATATTTCTCGTGACCACTAAAGATGACCGATTACCATTTCCCAGTCAAAAGATAATCGCCGATGGTTGGACTTGACCTGGGGTCGAACTAGCCCCAGTTTACGAACGTTTGAACCAGTTTTAGATCTACATGCACATAGATAAAATTGTACTGTACCAAAACATCCATTGAGGACAGCGCATGCAATAAAAACATAATATCTGGGTATAAACATTATAATACATAAATAACGAGAATATATACATATCGTTATTCACATGGAGAGTGATAGCACATGCCATTCAGTTATCTTACCACAGAACCACCCTCAATTTGCACATGGACATAGCAGATAAATCATGTAATTTAACCCCACCCACCCTCAGTAAACACAAACAGACACCTATAGCACTAATAAACACACACACAGTGCTTATTCTATTAAACAGGTGAGCCAGGATTGGCTGTCAATTTCCTTGTCGGGATTTTATTTTTCATTAAAAATTTGGGATATTTTATTGTAGTCTTGTAAACTGCTGTATAGTAGAGGTACAGATAAAGTTCGCGTTTCGTTGGATTCCTTTAATTTACTTTTTACTAAATCGTGGCCTTTAAGTCAATGTAAATTCTGTTTTATGGAATTGATTTTATGTTAGCTTTGGGGTAGCCTACTTGATTAAAAGATGGCTGTTGTACACAGCAGAATAAAAGACTAAGTTCCTGGAATTCAGATCAGTTTTGTTTTCCTGAATTAAGACCCTTTATTGACTTAAATTATATGAAAAGTCTTTTCTCCGAAATTATTTTTGGTTAAACATTGAGGCGTAGGCTATTTGATTTAAATTTAGTAACCTAGTACAGGCGAATTTAATGAAAAATCAGTTAACATAATTTATTCCGCCCATACGTACTTAGATTATATAACAGATATATAATATCAACTTGGGGTTCTTATATGAATGCGTGCATTTTAAAGGTATGATATCGGGCTATGTATTGCTTCAGTAATTCTCTCACAGTGCTTATTTTACAAAAATGAAATGAAATGGGGTTGAAAGTCCTGCTTTTCGGCACCAATCCTGCTAATAATAAAAACGGGTATACGCTTTGGACTGCATTTTTGGTGAAATTTGGCCCGGACAGCTAAGCAGCATTTCCACCAAATCTTCATCAAATTACAGGGCCTATTTTAACGTGCCTACAGACACGGACGTGCCTCGAAATGAAAAATCCGTGCTTGGAGAATCTAAAATTCATGCTTTGAAAAGATGGTATAATGGTATGTTATGTATCCTTGTGAATCTGAAAAGATCGCATGAGGAAATTTAGCAAGTGTGTCATTAACAATCATAGTGATCGTCAATCAATGCGTTTGGTTTCGATTCAATTTCGTGGATTGTATGTAAATGTCCAAAAATAAAGCAGTTGTTGACGCAAGTAGTCAGCTGCATGTTACAGTAAAGGTTCGTCTGCTTTTGGGCGTTTCTTTGGACTGCCAATGATACCGATGCGCAGCTATAAATACAAATGTCAATAGTATGCAAATTTTAATTTGGGCCTCAACTTTTGACCGTTTTAGATGTTGAGGATCAAAAGATCTTGGTTGAATTCGATTTTGGTGCATCTGCTTGGATTATGGCCTTACATACACAGAGCGTAACAAAGTTTGTGAGCTTTATATTGTGATGAATGGAGAACACGGGAGCAAGAATCATACCGATAATCAGCATTCCACGACCTTCTGTTCCGGAGTTAAGCCCCCTGGAAAACCTTGTCATGGAAGCGACAGGGACTTGCGTTTTAACCGTGTTTTATTTTTCCACATTTGATGTGAAGCATTGGGGTCATGAGACGACAAACCCCATCGAGTTACCAAACTTTGCCAAAAACCTTGTCAACGCGATATAGGCTACAGTTTCATATTCGATGTGTAGCATTGGGACAATGAGAGGTTGAGCCTTATCGATTTTCCCTGTTCCCTATCCATATCTTACAGAATCTCGGCGTATCGTGTATGCCAACCGGTTGTTTTGTTTTAAAAGTGTAAGCGTGGTGATAATTCAGGAAGTTTTTATTTCACTTCTGGTGAGCCTTTGTTTTGGTCACAACTAATTTGGTCACGATTTCAGAAGGTTTATTCCAACACATTAGAGCTAATAACGGTGATGGAAGAAGCTAAATTGAGCTACCAAGTTCAGTGTGAAAAATCGTGAGTCATGTTTTGGAAATTTTGTCGGAAACCAAAGGGGGGAAACCCAGTCAAAAAACTTCCATCTCCGGAAACCGTGCTTCGTCAATAAAACCTTAAAATAGGTCCTGAAATTGAAACTATCAAGGTGTTTTTATACTTACTAGCCAAAGATAGAATCTTAGTTTTTAGACCCATTCGAACGGCTATACGCCATTTCTTGCCAGGCGCCACGTACTAGCACCATCTGGAAAACATTGTTTCTAGCCAGAACAATTTAATCGTACACTACTATATAGTTACGATAAAACGCATAATAGACACCGCACCCCAACCTCCTGTTTAGCACAAAACCCATCATGACGCTCGGAACTTTCCACGGGGTGAGGAACTGGGGATGCCTCTTCCTGATTGGGATCCTGACAATGGCGTCTGACAATTTTCTGAAAATTTTCAGCACGTGATTTGTCCAGTAATGACGAGAAACAACACTGGATGGGGTGGGAGGATATGAAGGGGGAACAGAAGGTTTCCAGAGAGATGTCATACGTATCGAAATTCTGTTAAAACGTTTTTCTTTGTTAGTGGAATTAGCCGTCGGCTATACACAATTTGTGTATATTTGGTTTTTTTTTTGTTGATTTTCCAGGATTATGTGTATATTGGCTGTTATGTGTAAATTATCACCATGTGTACGGTCAATCTGTGGTTTGTTTAAGGACACTTATATCAGTAGAGTTAGATCAATCTTTTGTGATAAACTGTGGAATACGCAATCTTAGTATAACAGACCAAACTTCAGTAAGTAATATTTTTATTTTGGCCCTTACATTATGAAAATATTTATAATTTATAAACCCTGGACCCTTGTAGCCTCCAAATAATTGGGTAAATTAAATTCTCTCAGTTGCAACTTTGCTTTTATGAATCCTGATCAAATCCTATACATACTTCCAGTAATCTTGAGTCATCAACTTTTGAGTAGAATAACAAACCATATTTCTTTACAAATAATGGTTGTGCCAAGAGATGATATGTAGAGAGGCTGAAAACAATTGGACCTAATACTGATCCTTGTGGAATTCTGTATTTCAGTTGGGCATTTTCCATTACCAGTGATAATATAATATAGTTCTCTATGTTAAAGATAGAAGTCATTTAGCAATACCAAAATCTGAATTCTGCCTGTTGAATAGGATATCATGATAGATATACCTATGCTAGGAGAACCAGAACAACACACTCCTGCTGTCACAGGCATGTTCAAATTTTGGGTATCAGAAATTAAAGATTAAAATAACACTTCACATTTACTTATAGGAATGAAATGGTATAAGATGTAATCTCTTTTCATGACAATATCTCGGATATTTTGAGAAAAACATTAATTTGTGACATTTTAAGATATTAGAAGAATACACTATTTAGTAATAAGTGAGATTATAACTTTAGTGAGAAACAGTTTACCTCAAAAAATATTCTAGTGTCACTCCTAGGCACTTTTAAATAAATTAAAAGTTTATTTTTCTTTCATTCCAGGTGACATGGTCCATACAAGAAACTGGAAAAACCCTGCGTGAAATTTTCATACCAAGTGCATCTGTTAAATACAGTCTACAAATATCAACAATCAATAATGATGTTACTCTAACTGTAAACAATGTAGCGATAGAAGATGGTGGACAGTATACATTAACAGTTGTTGACAACAATAAAACATTTCTAACTACAGTTGATGTTACTGTAGAAGGTAAATGCCATTTGGACTAAGACTAATAAATGTTTCTGTTTATCTATAGCAATTCTTTCCTTTCCCCCATGTCAATTTTTGTTGACTTTTTAGCCTATAATTGTGGAAGAGTGTTTTATGCTTTCTACACTAGCTACCAATAGAATATAGAATTGAATACAAAATACTCGTACTTGTCATGAGGGATGGGTGGCTTAATGGTCAAATGTTTGTGCTCTAAATCACCAGGTCTGTCGTAAATCCACAAGAAATCTCTTATAATTATCATCATAATGTACATTCTATGTACAAACATTCAAATTCATACTGTCACTGCTATTGCTACTTTTAAAACTAAATTAAAAACTTATTGATTTAAAAAGGCTTTTATCTGGTGATCCTTTTAATACGTAGAATATCCAGAGGTATTTTAATTACATGTAATATTATCTAAATACAATTTTTTTATCAAGTATGCTCTTTGTTATGCCGTTTTATTATGTAAATGCAATAGTGTCTTGCTCTATATCTTTGTAAAGCACATTTATGTGTAATTATAAGAACACCTATACAGTGAAGCATTCTTAACTTTATCTGGTCTATTAAGAAGTTGTTGATAAGGTTGAGTAACTCTTGACAGATTTTTTTATTGTTATTAATTATAAAACTATGCTTACTGTATTAGCTTTTGTGAACAAGTTTGGGTCTCAATATAATAAGCATATAGTAGTCATTCAGCCACAAGGGGATCCAATCATAATGTTGGCTTACAATAGCCATTGTCAACACTTACTCCCATGATATTTCATAATCTCTCTTATAATTAACAATATAATGTTAAGTTCTTTTATAATGTAGGGGTAGTCCATTGTGGCCCGTTGAGTTTAGATGGAACTGGTTTACTAGCCATGATGACGTCCAGGGTTCATTCCAAATGTTGGCTTGAGAGAGTTCCAAAGGATTTTCCATCCTGGTTTTTCCTTTTCAGTTGTGCAGGAAAAAATATCCAAGTCGTTTAATTGGAATGAAAACCAATAGCCTTGTGTATACCATTGACAGCATAATAAAGATCCCTTGATAGTTAGTAAGAGTTAGCTTTAGCCCTTCAAACTGGGCAAATTTCCTTATGATCATCTTTATTAGCCGGGTTGGAGCAGAAAAGTAAGGTTTCAAATTCTATTTTATATAAGGATTAATCTTATCATAGTTTATTAACTTTTTCTTTCAAGGTCCACCACGAATAACTAACATTCATGACCATGTATATGGTCCACCAGGCATGGATCTCTTATTAGACTGTAGAATACAGTCTTGGCCAATACCAGATTATTATAAATGGTACCATGACAGTGTGGAACTAAAGAATGATATAAATAAGTAAGTAATTGCTATCAAATACCGGTATTAGAATTTTCAATATTTATTGCATTTTAAGTAAAATAATTTAACTATGTCTGACTCTTCGAGTTACTCAATAACTATACATGACAACCAGACCATTTATTACAATATCCCCGCCATGTTTGTTTGGTTGTCTGTCTACAACTTTTGTGAACGTACTACAGAGATTAATTTGCAAAAGCTGCTGAGATTGTTTACCTTATATCAAAGATACATTATGTAAGATTTAGATAAAGAGCTATCCATTCTTGCTATAATAGTTCAAAAATAGATAATGTAAAATGAATAATTTGAAAATTTCATTCAAATTACTCTATTGCGAGCGAAGATACTAGATTTGAAAGTTTGACAAGACGTTTGCAATAATTTAAAGCCCCCTTCTGGTTGTTCGAAGCTAAGTCTTGCTCCTCCATTTTTAGCTTATATCAAAATATGGCTGAACTGTTCTAATCTATTTAATATCGAAGAAATCAGATGCCATTGGGAGTTGATTATGGTCTGGACTAGTTAATTAATGTCTAAAGAAAGATCTGCAATAGGCAGATTTAGCTCTTGCATAATGTATGTTTAATTTATTTCACCCTATTGATTTTTTACACAGGTAGTTTTTGGTTGGCGACACTATATCTTTTGTTTTGTACATTACTGCTCATTAAATTATTAGAAAAAAAATGGACATTTTACAAGGAACCCTAGCTAATGCTTTCTTTCAGTGAGATAATTAGGGTGATTGATTTTAACATTATCTTTCTTATTGTCATTACAAAGTAATAATAGGTTGATCTAGATGTTAACTCAACTGTGGTAAAATGATATTGATTTTCATCGCGATTTGAGTGTCAACAGACAGTAGGTACATTCATAAACAACTGTTATTGATTTGATTAGCATTCCTATGTTGAAATGTTTACACACTATTATTGGTTCATATTTATTGATATTTGTATCAAGGGATTTCTTAATTGCAAAAACTTAACCTAAACTGTTTTAAGGATGAGCACTTTCATTGGTAGATAGTTGAAATTCTAGGATAAATTTTAAATTTTGTCCAATGAATGGGCTGCTTTCTTAAAATATTTAATTTCAATTTTTTGTGAATAAGGCCACTTTATTATCTAGATAAAGTTCTAGACAAGGTGGGATTGAGGAAAAATGGTAGACTAATAGTAGAGAAAAAAGTATTGCAACACCTGAATGCTGAATACTTAAATAAAAGTATGCGAAATTGAAATGGAAATTTGGCCTATTATGTCCTCCATACATACCAGTGAAAGCTGCCAATGCAGCTCTTAACAGACCTACAGTGCAAGGAAAGCATGAAGACCTTGAATGGAAATCAGTCATTCCATTGAGGAAAGATTTAAAATCGCTGGGATCACTGTCTGTATTTTATAATGGGACCTCAACAACTCACTACAGCGAAAAGATGACAAGTTATTGGCACGAGGAATGCTGGTATGTCAATAAGACAGATTGCATTGTAGTTTATGGTCTTCGTCCCTCGACCATTAGTCAATGATTTTGAAAACATCCAATGACTAATGATGTAGCTTCATAACATCCTTTTGCACCAAGCACTATGTTGAAAAGGGAATGGTTACCTCACAGCCCCCTATCCTACAAAACTGTTTGTAATTGACTGTAATCAACTAGATATGGTACTAACAGACCTATTTTTTTGTAGATATAAAATTACAGACAAGACTAACAGTAGAGAATCCATAGCCCATTTTTACCTGAAAATCTTCAAATTTAATACAGATAATGTCGGCTCATATGTATGTGAAGCAATTAACAAATTTGGGAGCGCAGATTTTAAAATAGAGGCTGGAAGTAAGTATCAATTTGTTTTGCTACTTTGGTTTGTGTTTGGGTATCAAGGGTTCAGACAGGTGTCTTTGTAATATATGTAATGTAATATAATCATACATTTATAGACCTCAAGTAATGTATCAAACAAATTTATAGTCCTAAGGTAATGTAATACAACAAACAAATTTATAGGCCTCAACTAATGTAATATAACGAAGTTATAGACCTCAAGTAATGTAATGTAACAAACAAAGTTATAGACCTCAACTAATGTAATATAACAAACAAAGTAGTATAATAATGCATTTATCGAGCTTTTGAATAATGAACTGAGATAAAATGTGCTTTAAAAATATACTTTTGGACTATATTGTAACACAATATAACAATGAAAAGACTGAATGAAAAGATCTCTAAAGAATGTCTCTTTTAGTCTAGTTGGCATGGGTGTCACACATGGGGGGGTCCCAGGGGGTCCGACCCCCGAATTGTTTTTTTTTTGGGGGGGGGGGGGGGTCTGAATATACTTGGACCCCCCCAAAATTTCCATAGTAGGCCCTAACTCCTATTTATTTACAACAATTATTAGGATTAATTAAGATTCTATCTGTATAAAACATGTACATATCCCAATATGGTTTACATTGCTAAAATAAAACACAGAGATAATCATCCTGGTAACATGTGTCAAGTGAAAAGTAACTATGGTCCATAAAATTGTGTCTAGTTAGCCTGTCAGTAACATTTTATTAATTTTTTTCTGCCATGGTAATCGCATGTAGGTACCCAAAAACATTATCGCCTAAGCCAAATATTTATCACCCGCTCAGCCAGCCACGTAACCATAATGCTTTGTTTATATCTTTTAGGGATTTTAAAAAAGGTTTAGGGTTAGGGGTTAGGGTTGCGGACCCCCCCAATATATATTTCACGGCTACGCCTCTGCTAGTTGGTGCATGAATATTGCTGTTTCAGTAATTTCAATTTTTATACGCCCACATTAAAATGTGGACGTATATTGCCGTCGCCCCCGTTCGTTCGTTCGTTCGTTCGTCCGTCCGTCCGTCCATCCGTCCATCCGTCCATCGTCCTCAATTTCTTGTGAGCGCTCTAACGCCAAAAGTTATCATCCAATTGTTTTAAAATTGATATATATTGTTTACATTAATGAGATGAAGAAGCCTATTTAATTTCAATAATTTCCGTTTATTACGTCTAATTTCACTTTGTTGAACCTTGTGAACGCTCTAATGCCAAAAGTTAACATACGATCTTTGTGAAGTTTATTTGCAATATTTAAGTTAGTGAAACGAAGAAGCCTATTGAATTTCAACAATTTCTGTTTATTACGTCTAGAGTTATGGCCCTTGTTTCACTTTATTGAACCTTGTGAACGCTCTAACTCCAAAAGTTATCATCCGATCTTTGTGAAATTTATATGCAATATTAAAGTTAGTGAAACAAAGAAGCCTATTGAATTTCAACAATTTCTGTTTATTACGTCTAGAGTTATGGCCCTTGTTTCACTTTATTGAACCTTGTGAACGCTCTAACTCCAAAAGTTATCATCCGATCTTTCTGAAATTTTCATGCATTATTTAAATTAGTGAAACAAAGAAGCCTATTGAATTTCAGCTATTTCTATTTATTACTTCTAGAGTTATGGCCCTTGTATCACTTTATTGAACCTTGTGAATGCTCTAACTCCAAAAGTTATCATCCGATCTTTCTGAAATTTACATGCATTATTTAAAATAAGTGAACGCTCTAATGCCAAAAGTTATCATCCGATCTTTCTGAAATTTATGTGCATTATTTAAATTAGTGAAACGAGGAAGCCTATTGAATTTCAGCAATTCCTGTTTATTACGTCTAGAGTTATGGCCCTTGTTTCACTTTATTGAACCTTGTTTCACTTTGTTAAACCTTGTGAACGCTCTAACTCCAAAAGTTATCATCCGATCTTTCTGAAATTTACATGCATTATTTAAATTAGTGAAACGAAGAAGCCTATTGAATTTCAACAATTTCTGTTTATTACTTCTAGAGTTATTGCCCTTGTTTCACTTTGTTAAACCTTGTTAATGTTTGATTGATGATAGTTATCATCCGATATGTATGAAATTTATATGCATCATTTAAATTTGTGAAACAGGTCTATTGAATTTCAGCAATTTCCGTCAATAATTTCTAGACTTATGGCGATTGTGAACGTTTGAATGACAAAAGTGATCATGTGATCTGTATGAAATTTATATGCATTATTTAAATTAGTAAAACGAAAAAGCCTGTCAAATTTCAACAATTTCTGTAGATTACTTCCAGAGTTGAGACCCTTGTTTCAGTTTGTAGAACCTTGTAAACCCTCAAACGACAAAATTTATAATCTGATCTGTATGGAACTGTCTTGTAAAGGCCCCCAATTACCTACAAAGGAATAAATATGCAAAAACCCTTGACGAACGCTCGGACGATTTAGCTGCCCTGGGGCGTATGTTTTGTTGCCTGGCAACCTATCTTCTTACCAGTAATACTGTGTATATTTTATATTACAGTGATATGTAATGATGTATATATTTTATATTAAAGATGTATATATTTTATATTACAGTACGGAATAAAAGTATACCTTGTAGAGAACAGTATAAATGTAATAATCTACAGACATGTTCGTTAGATCATGGGTGTATATGTTTTGATGGTTATATGGAACGAGCTGATGGTAGTTGTATAGGTAATTAGAACATATCTTACAATATTCTGGTAATCAGAACTACCATACTGATACTTTGCAAGATGGTTTCTCTTTGTCAGTGGTACAGGAGGAGGGCCTAACAAGAACAGCTGTCTAGTTGTTCAGATGGGATAAAATAAAAAACGAGCATGCTCGTAAAGATCCCTTGGCAGTTGGAATTTTATATAAGGGTAGGCCGAAGGGATGCTAACTGGGCAAAATTTGACTCCTGGCACACTGTATGGCGTATGCCTGTCTTCATTAATCCAGTCGGAGCAGAACAGTAGGACACTAAACCCCATTTAATTTCATTTCATTCCATTTCACTGTGCAAGATAATGGTTTATGTTTAAGGTGGAGATATTATTTAAGAGATTTTGAATCCTTTTCTAACCACTGTATTGTGAAAGTTGAATCTCTTAAAAGGAAGATCAGTCCAAAAACAAGATGATTAGAAAATTTCTAATGTGTAAAAACTTTGTTTCTATTTCTTTACTATGTATTTGAAATCATCATCATATGCAGAACTTAAGACACTAGACATAAATATCCAATGTTAATGTGGTTCGAGAAGAACAATCAGAATTCTTCAAACTGCATTCCCAATAATGATGAGTAGCACTTGTTGAACTGACAAGCAAAGTATACAAAGTTGTTTGGATGGGACTTATCCAATGCCCATCTGTGGATACAATTACCTGGCCCTGACCAATGGAATTTGATAAAGTGTAGGCAACTGTTCCACTCCTCACAATACAAATAACCATACAATCAACCCAAACTCACCCATGTAAGATGTCTATCAAACTTTTAAACCTAACACATTCTTAAGAAACATTTTTATTCACAGTTGGTATTTTTTTCAGATGTGGATGAATGTACTCATAATACATACAAATGTCCGCAAGACAAACCAGTATGTATTAATACAGAATCATTCTATAAATGTGGTTGTTCTACAGGATATAAACTTAATGATAACACAGATGTTTGTATAGGTAAGCTTTTCTCTATTAAATTCATGAATTTTTGCACTGACTGGGTGGTTTGACTTCCATGAATGACATCAAATCTGTGTTCTCTTTAATGATCACTTGCCTTCAAAACTGATTAATTTACTTGCATATTAACGAAGCAGAGTAAAATGGAGACTTTATTATAGGTAACTGCATTTCATCTGATAATGTAGATCATTGTACACAGATGACAGTAGCCTAAATATGCACAATCTGATTAAAACACAGCTCCTATATTTCGTTTTGTTTTTTATAGTTCAAAATTTGGTTTTACTTGTCTTTACTACACTAGGATCTGGAAGAGTTGTTTTATTTCAGGCGTTTTGGTTAAATTGAGGGATAAGCCAATTAAATAGTCTGGTACAGCGACTTCTTGGCGTGCCATGCACGGAACTGTGGGTAAACCACTAGAAACGCCAAAACTGATTGATTAATCAATGTCTGACGTCATAGGGTCAAAAGCCGCTCATACGACAACTGACACAACCTTCGATTACAACTTGTCAGATCTCCATGTAGTGTAGGCTATCGAAAGTATAAAAAAACGAAACGAAATATAGATCTGTATTTTAAACAGACTGAAACATGCACTGACGTTAACAAAATGAGAGTTATGGCTAAAACAGCACATAATTTAATATTTAGCAAGATTCTATCTTTTGAAGAGGATTTTTAGGGTTATCGGATGAAACCCTTTTTTTACGTGCCCACATATTGAAATTTAGACTTGCCCATCAATTATTATTATGCTTATAATTTCACCCCAGACAATGAAAATGTGAGAGCCACCATTCAAATGCCACTGGTGGGCAAATATTTGTTGTTTGGCAGTGCTCTGTTTTAAGCATGCATACTTTTGTTGTATTATAATTATTCATACACGTTTTTCTTTTAAATTTTTAGCTGATGTACCACAAGAAGAGCCTGTCGTTGATAATATGACTGTATTTGCTATTGTTGGTGTTTTTATGGCTATTGTTGTGATTATAGGAATTCTTGTTATTATCTTTATATTAAAGAAAAGAAGACAGAGACCAAAGATGGTTAGTATACCATTAATACAAATATTGTTAAAATTGTGGGGGATCACGTGGGTAAGACGCTGGCTCGCTAGCCTGGAGGTTGGGTGTTCGATCCCTGCATTGGCCGAGAAAGTTCATCCAGATTTTTCGGCGTGGTTCCCCCTTGTCAGTGATGCAGGACGGAGAGCCTGACAGGGACAGCTGTATAGTCCTTCGGATGATACGAAAAACTGAGGTCCTGTGTATACATTGGAATGCACGTAAAAGATCCCTTGGCAGTTGGAATTCGATATAGTGCCGCTGCCCGGGCAAAATTTTCCTCATAGCACACTGTATGGCGTATGCCCATCTTTATTAGCCCAGCATAGGAGCAGAACAGTAGGACGTTAAACCCCATTTTATTTCATTTCATTTCATTTCGTTAAAAGTGTAACATGGCTGATGACCTAATCTGTAGACATGATTGGGTCATTAAAACTTGCATAAGCAGAAATGAAATGAAATGGAGTATAAAGTCTCACTAGCCTGCACAAGCCAGGTTTAATGAAGACTTGTGTCCGTCTGCTTTAACCCGCTTGATACAGAGAAAACTTTTAATATTTTAACATTGTTATCTATAAATTGATGCCAACCCTGATCCAATTTTAATTATTTTTCAGCCATTATCTCACTACGCTCATGAAACCTCAAATTCTCCGACCAGTACGGTAAATATCTTTCGTTTTTCCATTTACTCAAGAAGAAGGGCAACTCATTCAATTAAACATGCTATGCAATTTTTCCTCCCAATAAAACTTACGTTCAAAGGGGGAGGGGTGGATGGCCAAATGGTTAGCACATGCACGCTGCATCATAAGGTCTGTCATTGAGTCAACTGGCGTGGTCTCGATTCCCTGGTTGTACATGACAAGGAGTAGGGTCGCCTGTTCAATCTCATGGATATTCTCCGTTTTCCTCCGACTGAAATAAAATTGAACCATATGTTAGTCCCGAAATGACCTAGTTTGTGTTGAGTGGACATTAAACCCCATTTCTCTCTCTCTCTATTCCGTTCAATTAAGCATTCAGAAATATTTATTTCGGGATTATTTATCATAGGGTCAACCTAGGCCTACCTAAAAAGAAGTTCCATGACTGGCAAACTGGTTTAGAATTTTAATGGGCTGCGGCAGTTGAGTGGTAGGACAATGACCAAACTCTCCAATAATAATGTGGGCCAAGACAAGCCTTTGGGTTTTTTCAAACCTGGTTCTAGAATGTCACTCGAATTTTGAATTTTAAAAAGAGTAATTTTTATGATAGAAATGAAACAAGTAAGATATTGTGTTGACGAGACTTTAAATCCTGTTCCATTCGATTAAAATGTTGTTGTTTATTTTTAGGGTAGTATAGTACCTCATATGACAGCTAATCAGGTAGAAATACAGTATGAAATAGGTAAAGGTAGATTCGGTCAGGTGTTTATAGCTAAAGCTTGGAATGTATCTGATACAGGATTGTGGGAAACAGTTGCTATTAAACAGTCACGAGGTAAGTCCCACTTTTTATTTGATGTATATTTGATTATTTATGGATGTATTTATGATAATTTATGGATGTATGTGTGATAATTTATAGATGTATATGTAATTATTTATAGATGTATGTATAATAATTTATAGATGTATGTATGATAATTTATGGTTGTATATATGATTATTTATGGATGTATTTATGATAATATGTATGCTAATTTATGGATGTATTTATGTTCATTAATGGAAGTGTATGTATGATAATTTATGGATGTATTTATGTTAATTTATGGAGATATGTATGATACTTTATAGATGTATGTATGATAATTTATGGATGTATTTATTATAATTCATCATGTATGTATGATAATATATGGATGTATTTATTATAATTCATCATGTATGTATGATAATTTATGGATGTATATAGTATGATAATTTATGGATGTATGCTAATTTCAGATGATATAGCAGCTGAAGATAAAAGTGTATTTTTACATGAATTAAACCTAGTGAAGAATATACCCTATAACAGACATATTGTCAGATGTGTTGGCTATTTTTATGATCGTAAGTATATTATGATTGTTTTGATGTGAAATAATTTATTTAGATCATAGCTTTATGCATGGATCTTGAAGATTCTTGTTGGAATTTGACTACTAATGTTCAAAACATGTTGAGTAAAATAGATAGAAGTTCAATGATGCCATATCTGGATAAATATTTGGGGAGCAGGGCACAGCATTTTGTTCTTTCTATTTTTCGATTGTTTACTCCATTAAAGAAATTTCAGTGCTGGATAGGTTGTGATTGGTTGATGATAGGCAAGCCTACCAAACAAAACACATGATACAGAAAATTCTACTCCACAAATTCTTACTATTAAGACATTTGATTGATTGTATTTATTGTATAACAAATTATCAAGAAATATATTTTGTTGAAATCTGTTAATATTAAATAAAGGGAATATAAGCTTATTGACCCTATTTCCTGAAGTTGACAACCTCTGATGACCCAATTGCAGCATCTTGGTGGTTCATTTTAAAATGGATTAAGGGCCCTGGTCAAGGGTATTTATATGCTTTTGTCAGAGTACCAGAACAAGCTTTTAAACATATCCTTCTATGTTAATGCTGTTAATGGACCAACCAGTCAAATCAAGAGAACAGAAATTAGTTTTAATTAGATTTGACTCGTAAACAACATTCAAAGATACTAGAACTTTGAAAGTTAATGCTTTTTTTTTTTTTTCACTTATTTAGAATTTTTATGGGTTTATGTTTATTGATTGTTTGTTTTAATCTTTCAGCCATCGTGTCAATGTTATTTGAGTATATGCCCTGTGGGGATCTATTAACGTATATTCGACAGAAACGACCTCAAAGCTTTAGAATGAGTAATTCGTCAATTAATACAGCACCTCTTTCAGCTACCCAAATCTTTAACTTTGCTCTACAGTGTGCTAAAGGAATGCAACATCTTCACGAAAATAAGGTACAGTACAATGGTGGTGTCTGTTTTCAGCTCAGCTGGGGAGGTCATTATTTGTTCAGAATATTTATGTATCAAGAATTCATTGTTAAGAGTCTACACACATTAACAAATATAGTTATAATTTGTATCACAATTATTTAAATCAGTCAATCCTAACTGTAGGTACAGGAGGACCACACTACACACAAGCAAAATGATAAGAAAAACCTGAGGACAAGACATTTCTCAAACTGGGGATCAGCCGTAAGCATCCACTGCTCTGTACTATCCCTGGCCTATACTGATATAGGCTTCACTTAAAATTTAAAACAATGCAACAATTTACATGCAATACACATTAGAAATAGTTTCCATTTGGAAACTACTGAAAAATAACACTGAGGTTAATTTGACATGTACGGTAACCTTAAAAAAGCCCCCCCCCCCCTTTTACTGTGATACTGGTGATAAAGTATGATTATTCTATTTAGATTATACACAGAGATTTGGCAGCTAGAAATATATTGGTAGCCAATGAAAATTGTTGTAAAATATCAGATTTTGGTATGGCACGTAAAGTTGGTGAAGATTACAGTTATACTTCAAGATCAAAGGTATGTAGGATGATAATAACTATTATATATAAAGATGATAATTATATATGAATATATAACATGCTGTAATAGTATTCCTGAATTTTTTGTAGTGTTCTAGTACAGATATTTGATTAAAGGTTGTTATATCAATGTTGTCTTGTTTCCCATAAAGTTTATTATATTTTAGAACATACAGTAATGTTGAATCTGTAGATGATCTAATAGCCCGTTCAGACGCTTATTTTTAAACCAGTTCATAATCGCTGGGGTTTTTAAGACAGCATCGTGTTGCGTTCACACGTACTATAAGCCAAACCAGTTTAACTATTCTGACCTCTTCGGTCGGAGGTTAGAGTTAATTGCGCATGGGTAGCTTCATATTCTTTATTCGGTTCTCGCACGCTTTAGATAACATTGGCACAGTCTGACCCCGAAATTTTCACAGGAATGTAACTTACTGCGTACTGCGCATGCTCAAAGCAAGCTGGAGCTGGGGTTTTTAGGCCAACCCGTTCAGACGGCTAAGATGAACCAGTTTAAAATAAAAAGCCTTCTCAAAGACAGGTCGCGAGCTTTGGTTTTTAAACTGGTTTATTTGCCCCACGTGTGCGTTCAGACGCTTAAGTTAAACTGGTTTAACGATCCCCGGGGTTTTTAAACCAGTTCAACTTAAGCGTCTGAACGGGCTATAAGGTTAGGACGAAACTGTTTATAGGCACAATGAATTATTTCATGTATATAGGCACCAAACCCAAAAACAAAGCCTCCCAGAGATTTGTGATATATTTATAATCTATCCTAACTTCCATTCATAGCCAATGAATTTTCGTCTGTTGTATAAAATGTACTGAAAGTCAGAAGGCCTTGATAATACATGTATATTGAAGTCTGTTTATAACGTATCTCTGGTAACCGGTCTAAAGTGTCCATATTATCAAGGTTTTTGAAGAGAAATGGAAGTTGAATCTACTCTCTGATTATAATATCTTTGTTTATTTTAATTTAAATCTATAAAAGTATGTTGTTATATTTTCAGAGACCATTACCTATCTTATGGATGGCTCCAGAAGCTATATTTAATGATCGTACAAGTAATAAAAGTGATGTGTGGTCATATGGTGTTTTATTTTGGGAGATGGTTACCTTAGGTGAGCAATAACTTTAAAGGTCACCGGAAAAGCATCAATTTTTTTTTAAATAATGCAAGTAATTATGTCAACATATCCTTTCCATAAGTATAACCCGAGCCCGAACGTCAATATTACCTGCAACAGGTAAATTTCAACATTAGTAATTTCCGCCGTTCTCCGTCGGTAGTCGGAACTTTCCGTCAATAAGCAATCCGTGACGTCATTTTAGTCCTTCTGCACATAGAAATATAGACTAGAATATGAGCAGAAGGACTAAAATGACGTCACATTTACGGAAAGTTACGACTACCCACGGAGAATGGCGGAAATTGCTAACGTTGAAATTTACCTGTTGCAGGTAATATTGACATTCGGGTTCGTGTTATACTTATGGAAAGGATATGTTGACATAATTACCTGCTTTATTTAAAAAATTTATGAACCTTTTCCGGTGACCTTTAAGGCGTATTAATTTTCTTATGCTGTCGAAATACTGCAAACATTCAGAAGATTACTGAATAAGTGTTCGATCGCTGCATTGGCCGATAAAGTTCATCCAGATTTTCCGGGGTGGTTCTCCCTTGTCAGTGATGCAGGACGGAGGGGCTGACAAGGAAAGCTGTCTAGTCGGATAGTACGAAAAACATTGGCGTGCACGAAAATGATCCCTTGGCAGTTGGAATTCGATATAAGAGTAGGCCGTAGTGCCGCTGTCCGGGCAAAATTTCCCTCATAGCACACTGTATGGCGTATGCCCGTCTTCATTAGCCCAGTTTGGAGCAAAACAGTAGGACGTTAAACCCCATTTCATTTCATTTCATTTTACTGAATAAATGATACACATTCTAACAATGATATAGCCCATTTATTTAAAGATAAATTATGGGAGATTTTAATAGAGAGTTGGCCATTCTTGCTATAACAGTTCAAAAATAGATGATAAAAGAAGAATATATTGAAAATTTCAGTCAAATTACTTTATTCTGATCAAAGTTATCACCATTGTAATTTTTGACTAGAAGTAGGAGTCAAATCCCTCTTCACCGTCTACGAGAATGCAGGCCGTTTGATTGACAGGCGTTAACTCCACCTACATAATCTCGATTATCAAGTAACGTTTTCAATTCGTAATCGTACCACATTTATTTTTACTAAAAATTAAAAATAGGACTTTTATTATATAGATAAGAAGCGAAAGTTTTAAAGGAATGGACCAAATCAATGAGGCATAATTATAGCCGACTTTTTCAATCTTGTTAGCCTGCGTGTACTCCCGAAGCAGACAAATTGAAATAGGAAACATTGATCCAATGGGGCTGCATGGGCTGCAATTCAACTGGGGTGATGTTAGCTGCGATGTTTATCAATTTCCATAATTTTTCTGTAAACGCAAGTGACAAAAGAGCATATAATACCGACATCCAAACTCTCATTTTAACCACAAATAAACATAATATCAAGGCCGTATATATCGAACTTTCAATCAAATTGACCGACATATGCGGCCTCGCTTCGTACACTTCACAGACTCTGTGGTACACTCTATCATTCAGCCTCGATCTAAAATTTCCCGGAGTATGACGTCAACGTAACGGTTAATCTCAACTTACGACGCCATTTAAAAATTTAATCAATCAATGAAATCCTGTTTAAATCCAAGCCATCCGTGGGTCTACAGAGTTGATTTTGTGCTTGTTGTGTAAATAAAGATCTAATTTATAATTTCTATGACATCTGAAGCCTAAATAAAGACTTGCAATAATCAGATTTAGCTCTTGCATAATGTATGTTTAATATAGATTTCTTTTTTATTTTATATCATATTTCTTTCTTAAAGGATCTCGACCCTACCCCGGTAAATCAGGTCAACAAGTATTACAGATGTTAAAAGAAGGTGAACAAATGGAACATCCTCGTCACTGTGCTCTAGAAATGTATGTTATCTGCATTACTTTCTGAATTGAATATTCACTGTCTCATGGGGGATGGATGATATGGCAGACTATGTCAAAAAATGGAAAGAGCCACCTGTACATGTTCATGTGGTTTTGTTATAAATAGTGATTGATAGTTACCCTGTCTTAATTAAATGCAAACTAATTTGTAGTCTAGCTCTGCATTGCAGACATTATTTTAATTTTAGGCCTGCATGGTCTGGATATGTTGTGTAAACTGAAAATATCCCAAGTCAAATATTATGGAATAATTGATGACACCCAAGATTGAAACTCATAAACTTCTAATATTCTTAATTTGATGAAAAATAGATTCTTTATATCTTTGAATTATTATAATAATTTGAACAGTCATGTAATATTTATTTTATAATTTCCTTTATTTCAGATATCGTATAATGACAGACTGCTGGCAGTATGATCCTGAAAGTCGACCAGAATTCCACGAAATTGCTGACGAAGTTGAAATGAGATTAGATTCGGCTGAGAATTATTTAAATTTATTTAACTATAATAAAAACAATTATTATTTTGTGGATCATGTATCTATGAGTGACATGGACATAGACCATTCTGAGAGCGAAACCAATACTTTCACAAGATCTAGGTCACGTCGATCCTATAAACAACCGGTTTTACATCTTTAGTGAAGAATCAGTTTACATCATTAGAAAAGGATTGGTTTTTTACCTTTAGTAAAGAATTGGTTTTACATCATTAGTAAAGAATCGGTTTTACATTTTTTGTAAATAATTGGTTTTATACCTTTAGTGGAGGGTTGGATGACCGAATGGTTAGCGAGTGTGTCTTGTATCATGAGTTCTGTCATTGAGTGAACTGGCGTGGTTTTCGATTCCCTGGTTGTACATGACAAAGAGTAGGGTCGCCTTTCCAACCTCGTGGGTTTTCTCCGAGTCCTCCGGTTTCCTCCCACTGTTAAAGACCCCTACGCGCAAGCGAATTATTGAAATAAAATTGAACCTTGTGTTAGTCCCAAAATGACCTGGTTTGTGTCGAGTGGACCTCAAACACCATTTCTCCCTCTCCCCTTATATCTTTAGTAAAGAATCGGTTTACGTCTTTAGTAAAGAATCAGTTTACATCATTAGTAAAGAATTGGTTTTACATCTTTTAGTAAAGAATTGGTTTTACATCTTTAGTAAAGAATTGGTTTTACATCTTTAGTAGAGAATCAATTTTACATTTTTAGCAAACAACCGGTTTTACATCTTCAGTGATCAGCTGGTTTTATGCTGTTAGTGTGTGCAAACATCTTTTTAACAACTGGTTTTATATCTTTAGTGCGAAGTATAAATAACCTGTTTTACGTTACTAGTGTGAAATATACTGGTATATGGATAAGAGAATGAAATGTAAAATATATCTTACATGCAAAGTCCCAATGAAGTGCTATACTATCACCATGTTTTTGTGGTTAAGACACTATTTATGTTAATTAGGCTTACAATGCAGGGTATGCTTGTCATATCCAGAGGATCTGCCTGGTGGTACATTCCAATAGAAATTTTGTCTAAAATATTTATAGCAATGGTCAGAATATTTTTTGAGGGTATTAACCAACCTGCTGTGCCTTTTATAACATGCAAAGTGTGAATTTCACCTGTTTTGTTATATGTATGTTACGTTATTCTTATTTCATTTATATGTTTCATCACATTTAGTCACCGGCTTTACAAACTTCCCATCAGAAAAAAATCAACATATTTCAAAATGGACCTATCCTTGTATACATAGCAATTAATCATCATGCTAGTGCAAAAGCACAATTATAGTTATACAAAAATGTTACATTATTAATGGTGTACATTTGTAGATAGTCTATATATAAATACCAAAACTATACATTAATGGTGTACAATTGTAGATATTTTATATATATATATACAAAAACTATACATTATTAATGGTGTGCATTCGTAAATATTTTATATACAAAAACTATACATTTTTATGGTGTACATTTGTAGATGACGTTTCATATGTAAATTTTATACATGTGTGTTTAGTATTTTGAAGATTCATAAATATTATTGTTATTTATTATTTGAAATCAGGTTTTAAATTTTGTGCCAAAATGTTTCCTATAAGCACATAATAAAACAATATTTTCACATGTCGTATTTGTTATCAAAATATGATAATTTGGACAAAGGAGGAAGGGAGAAAAATAACCTACATATGCACAATATGAGTATATATCTTTAAGTATAATTAATAATTATTGCCATTGATCATTCTGTGGAATTTGAGAAAGTAAGCTTATATAGGGTTTCTGGCGGAAAATGGCATTGGTTTCCGTGCATCAACAGTGAACAGGGGACATATTCCTGCATATGCCCCCTGGTTGATTTACAGCTGTGAAAATTATCAATTATCAAGAAAGATTTATGATAAAGTCTGTTTATATTGAAACTTGAAGATAATTATATAATTATCCACAGCATTTCTTATAATTTATCGGTTTTAGACCATTTCTTAAGTAAATCCTAATACTGAATAACTAATTTGAATGACAGACTAACTTCCCACTTGGCGAAACTACCGCTCCCTATAGTTAGTTGTGCATAATGAGATTAAACAAATACACAACACATGGATTATCAAAATGGATCTGGAATGCATAATTTTCTTAATTTTTCGGTAAGCAAGTTTACTAACCTCTAGCTTTTATTTCAACAATTCCCACAAGACCGTAATACCACTGTATAAGTATTTGAGGAATTACCTAATTTCTATGCTGTTTTTATTTAAACATGCATTATGCAAGAGCTAAATCTGATTATTGCAAGTTTTAATTTAGGCTTCAGATGTTATAGAAATTATAAATTAGATCTTTATTTAAACAACAAGACCAAAATCAACTCTGTAGACCCACGGATGGCTCGGCTACAGCTCGGATTTAAATAGGATTTCACTAATTGATTAAATCAAATAAGGGATAACCTGATGAAAATACGTCAGTTAGATCGAGGCTAAATGATAGAGTATACTTAGCGAGGCCGCTGTAAAGCGTTTCGGTATGCCATTGAAAACTTTACTTGATAATCGAGATATGTAGGTGGAGTTAACGCCTGTCAATCAAACGATCAGCGAAGGTGAAGACACAATTCGCTACCATTTCTAGGCAAATATTACAACGATGATAACTATGTTCAGAATAAAGTAATTTGACTGAATTTTTAATATATTCTTCTTTCATCATCTACTTTTGAACTGTTATAGCAAGAAAGGCCAACTCTCTATAAAAATCTCCAATAATGTATCTTTAATACTACAGTTGGTTTAATACGAAGAGCAGTGCAGTACTATATCTGATTGCCTTTATTTGAAGATCATGATAATCTTGTTTACCTCATGTGTGACCGTAATGGAGGTATAGTGGCTTTGTTCTAGAAAATACTTAAGACATGTGGACATTATGTGGGTGTTCAAATAGAAAATGACTAACAATATGATTCCTACATAACAATTAACTTTTATTGTTCTACTACAGAACTGTATTTTCAGGTCTGCCATTGAGTCAAGTGGCGTGGTTTCGATTCCCCGGTTGTACGTGACAAGGAGTAGGGTCACCTATCCAACTTCAAGGGTTTTCTCCGGGTCCTCCAGTTTCCTCCCACTGCTAAAGACCCCTACGCGCAAGTGAATTATTGAAAAAGAATTGAACCATGTGTTAGTCCTGATATGTCCTAGTTTGTGTAGAGTGGACCTTAAACCCCATTTCTCTCTCTCTACTACAGGACATTTATCATTAATTATCAACACAACACTCAGTATAATGCCCTCTATGTATACAACTCTATAACACCAATCATGAGATTATGTGACTTCTATATTCTGTACAGACCGTAGAATTTATAATTAAATAATGGAGGTGGGTCAAAGCCTTGTTTGAAAATTGGGTTTTGAAAAATATGCTTTTTTTTCGGTGTGCAAAATGACCGATGGGTCCGACCCTGTTTCGATCGTTTTCTATAGCCTTCATGGCCGGCATGATTAAAAGGAATGGAAGCTTTTTGAACCTTTATTTGTAAATGATTACTTCTTGTGACCAAATTTTGACCTCTGTTAAACAAAACTAAAAATGTCTGAAAGTCAAATTTAGAGACAGAAATCCTACACAGTATTCATTAATAGACCAGTAAGAGTATGTGGCCTCTCCATAGTTAAATCTGTAGTCAAATAGACCCGTAATTTTCACTCACGAACCCCAATAGACATTTTACAAATCTCTGAGTAGCCCTGGGGGGTTGGATGGATGAATGGTTAGCGTGCGCGCGCTGTATCATAAAGTCTGTCATTGAGTCGACTGGCGTGGTTTCGAATCCCTGGTTGTACGTGACAAGGAGTAGGGTCGCCTGTCCAACCTTGTGGGTTTTCTCCAGGTCCTCCGGTTTCCTCCCAGTGCTAAAGACCCCTACGCGCAAGCGAATTATTGGAATAAAATTAAACCATATGTTAGTCCCCAAATGACCTAGTTTGTGTCGAGTGGATGTTAAACCCCATTTCTCTCTCTCTCTCTTACTCTGTTCTGTCAGCTTTCCCACTTTGATAAACCCTATATGGGCCATCTTAATCTAAAAAATTTAATTATGAAACTCTATGATCCAGAGGTATTGTTCAAGCTTAGGACTAAAATGAGGTCATTTGACCCCAATGACAGCCCACTTGACAAACCCTCCCCCTCGATTTTAGATAGAACACAGGCGTAAAAAAAGAGATTACTAAAAAATGTTTAATTGCATGATTTAAAAATCTTGTTATCAATATAAACGATGATATTACAAAATGAAAGATATAAATTCTAGGAATGATTCAATTTAATAATAAAACTGATTAAAAGAAAATGATTTTATGTACACATTATAGGGTATTACTATATGTTCTAAATCTTATATGAAGGAAAAACGGATAAATTAAAAACAAATATTTCCATCTCGACACCAGTGATCTATGAGTATGGAATATTGAAAACTCTAAAACAGACAATACAAAAATCAAAAATTAAAAAATGTGAAAATTTTCAACATTAATTTCTAAAGTGTAGATCTATAATTAGGAAGCACATAATTATGTATAGCATCCATATTTAATACTTAAAACATAGTATGCCAACACCAAATATGCTTGGAACATGTTCAAAACAGGCATTTACAAAAGATATTTTTAATAGTAGATGGGAACCTGTCCAATTGTAATTACTCCAATTTATGGTTAGGGAATATTCTATTTTTTTATATGCAATGAATGTTATAACACGGTAAATCAAATATTGATGTGCTCCAAACTCGGAATGTTCAAAACCCGGAATAAACAGAATGAATAGAGGATGACAAAAATTATACTAATTGCGATTAGTGAGTACAGAATTTTAGCAACTTTACTTAATGCTCACTGATAAGAGAATACAGAATTTTACTAACTAAATTTCCAACTTTCTAACTGCAATAAGTGAGGATAGAATTGTATTTACACTAATATGAATAATTAGCATATATCTTATTGAACTGAAAATAATGGTTTCTAGTCTACAGAACATTGTATATCTTATGTTTATAATAAAGTGGAGCACTTGTAATTAGAAGGCTGATTATGTTTATATAAGAGGTTTGGTATATATAAAAGACTTGTTATAAAAATATATTATTATACAATTGAAACATGATATTTACAAAATATACACCAGGTACTGATTTCTAAGGCCGAATAAAAATAATATTCTGGTTCTCAAACACTGCTGTGTCACTTAAAATAAATAAATATCCTCATTGACATCTGGAATCTCCTTCTGTTGAAGGATTATCTGGGAACCAAAATAGTTTAAAATATAGTTTAATGTTGAATAATTTTCTTGTGCTCATGTATTTATATCAATGTTGAGATGTAGCAGTTTCCCACTGCAAGACAAATCAATGGTAATATTTTTCATATGAAAGCTTATAGCTAAACTTTAAATATAATTCTTACTAAAAAGAAAATACTAACTGTATCAGAGAACATTATACAGGTTCATGTACATGAAATTAAAATTGCATAGACATAAAAATTGAAATGGCAGTAATTGCCATGACAACAGCACTAGAAATGTTGATGGTGTTTGCATCTGCAGCCAAAGAAGGGCAGTTAGGTCCCTGACATTCAGTGGTTTCTGAAAAATAGTAAATTTATATTTAGAAAACTCACAAATTTGGGTTAAATTCAAAAGTTTCCCCATTTAACCTTCTCGCTATAAGATGATGCACACTTTTCTAATGGCGCATACATCATGGCATGTAAATGCCTGAAGTACGTTCCTTGTCTCAGTACAATGGTGGAATTGAATTTACTATAAAAAATCGTACTACAACTTACCATATAGACGAATGATGGAACATTTACCATTTGTATTGTAATACAACTAACCATATAGACAAATGGTGGAACTATAAATTTCTCATATGTATCGTAATACAACTTACCAAATAGACGAATGGTGGATTGGGCTTTACCATAGGGATTTTCTGACGTACAGAAATAGTCGACAAAGTCATTAGCTTGGACTGTTTTAACTTTAAGGGTGTACCACTGTTCTCGTGCATACAAATTCTGATTATCTGTTGTCTGTTTGTTGATTTCAAATTTATCATTATCATTGACATCTTGTAGACCACCATTCACTAATCGCTTCCATTTAACAGATGGTTCAGGATAACCTGAAATAAATAGAAGAGTTAACTAGTAATAGATATAAGTGACTTGTCTTATAATGGGCTATCTCTGTCCCTATTAGAGACTGTCTGGTTTCCAGTTGTCAGATTTGCTGCCTAGTCATGCAGAGAGAGAGAGAGAGAGAGAGAGAGAGAGGGGGGGGAGAGAGAGAGATGGGGTTTAACTCCACCCGACACAAACTAGGTCATTAGGTCATTTCGGGACTAACACATGGTTCAATTTTACTTCAATAATTCGCTTGCGCGTAGGGGTCGTGAGCAGTGGGAGTAAACCAGAGTACCCAGAGAAAACCCACAAGGGCCTAGTCATGCAAATAGGGCAAAAAGTTGAAGTCCACCCAAATACTAGGATTCTAATTCTGAGCCAATGGGATACAAAAGAAGGCCCCTTCTAAGAGATCAGACATCAAAATACTTTTAACGATCTTCTAGTCTTGATGATTCAGTCCAATAGTCCAGAATGTCATCATTAAAAATTAAAGCATCAAGCAGGATCATCTTCTCAATAACATGATTAACATCACTTGACTTAACCTATGTAATCTTGGTACTAACATATTGTACAATTTTATTTCAATAATTTGCTTGTGCATAATGATATTTAGCAGTGGAAGGAAAGTAGAGAACTTGGAAAAAACCCATGAGGTCAGGCAGCCAACCCCTACTCCTGGTCAGGTACAAGTGAAGCACGGGATTAAAACTCTACACTCCATGACAACCCTTATGATCCAAAGCGCATCTGTTAGAACACTCGACTTTCCTCTCCTGATAATAAACAAATTTGCTGTTTACAACAAGGGAGGTAATAACTTGTTTAATGCCTATTAGGATTTGCAAAATGGATACTAAGGCATTAGCAAGTATGGTTCTGATGACAGTCTACCACAGTGATTCTCAACCAGTGCGATCTTCCTAAGTGTGCCGCGGAATTTTGAAAGGCACACTAAGAAAAAGCGAAAAACCACATGATCCCAATTGAGTATTTGCTGATAAGTTCATAGATGTGTTTTTCTTTATTTAGTTTAAGACAGTCTATGTTTCTATGACTAATCTCTGTCTACGGTTGTATGCCGTCTGACTTGCCATGTTTTTATTTTGTAAAATTCAAATATTTTTCATATATAATCAGCCAGATGTGCCACTATTTTTTCGTGTTTTCCCAGGTGTGCCATTGGCAAAAAAAGGTTGAGAACCACTGGTCTACCATATAAATGATAGTAATTACCTTGGACTATACATTCTAGCTTTGCACTGAAACGTCTGTTCTGAGCTTGACCAACACTATCTTGTACAGTTCGACTTAATGGTGCGTAAAATATTAAAACTTGAGCTAAATGATGAGCTGGGGGTTTGATACTGTTGTCTGCTACACAACGATAAACACCTGCATGCTCTACCTGAACATTGATCAATTTTAATTCCGCTCCCTGAAAATGAAACAGAAGTTTAAAGTTTCCAGACCAGAACCTCATAAAGTTACATGTAGTTCTTTAAACAAAGATAGCCACACACAGCATGGAAATATACCCACACAGCAGCCAGGTCTATGACATTAGTTTATCCAAAAGCAAAATTTGGATGTTCTCCAAATTTGATACGGAAAGTATCCTTCAAGAAATTTGTTCATAAGCTTGAAAGAATTATATTAAAAACAGTAGTCTCTGCTATGTAAAGTCACAGAACGCTTCACATAAAATTTGAGAAAATTATGTTAAAAACTGTAGAATCTATCCTGTTCACAGAATGGTGATTATCGATAGGGTTTGTCCTCTCATGACCCCAATAATTCCCATCAAATTTGAAAAAGATTTTGATCATGTGGTTTTCGGAAAAAGGGGCATTATGTCTGGGCGTATAAGGATAAGCCCCCCCGCCCCCAATACACTGTGGTAGATAGAGACTTCAACACCACTCATTTTGGGACTATGATTAAACCAATAATTCAGTTGTTTGTAGGGATCTTCTAGAAGATAGGGGAAAACAAAGTAATATAAGAAAAACCATGATGGAAGGCAGGCAATCCCTCGACCTGCATATATAGTTAACAGGCATTATAATTTATATGATAAATGCATGACAAGTATAATATCATATATATTCTGATACATGTACATACCCTAGACTGAGCTGATCCACTAGGTAAATTTTTACCATCAGACCTGACCCATGTGATGTTAGGTGCAGGGATACCAGAGGCTGCACAATTCAATGTAGCATTACTTCCAGGATCCACTTGTAGAATGGTAGAGGTGTCACCAGGTCGTATCGTTGGCGCCACTGAAAGAGAAGGTCCAGATTAATGACTATCATGTCATTGAGAAGAAAATAAGCAGTATCTCTGCCATAAAACTTGACAGATTAAAAGCTCTGAAAGCCATGTAGTGTTATTTCTATTTTTCGGACAATACTCCACCAACTTAAATGTTCTTAATTTGATCATTTAACATTTGTGACTCATCACATCAAAACGGGTAGGCCTGTATTGTGCTAGCACTCATAATTAAAATGTATGTCAATTTTTGTTGACACTCAGATCTTCACAAAATGAAGTCTGGAACACCCAAGGAATGTGATTATGTACATACATGTAGTTCAATATGACCAAATTGCTACTCACTACCCATTTTGATGTGATGGGTCACATTTAATTGAGAAAAAACAAACAAATATCTACAATAGATCACAGATTCAGTTGAATGAAAAGTTGCCCATGAGAAGATTTTACACAACATTTTTAGGTAAAGCTGGCTTGCTTATATTGTTGTGACATTTTCATTTCATCATATTTTTTCTAAATAATGAAATGAAATTGAACCATATTGGACTGACATTTGTTTTAGAGATTCAACTTTCACAAGGGATTCCAAATTCCTCAAAAGATGTTTAGCGATTTTAAAGGAGCTTATCAGCATTGATGTTGGTCAAAACAAAGCATTGAATAGGGTGTACATGTACATCCTGCTATATTAATTAGTGATAGGGCAAGCTACATGTAAATACTGTTTACAGTTAATGATAAATTAGGTTGATATTATATCATGCTCTATCAATTAGTGATGGGACAAGTAAGGTAAATTGATGTGTTATATTAATTAGGGATGAGACAGCTGAACTGATATGCTTTACCAATCAGTGATAGGACATTTAAGATAAATTGGGTTGATTTGATATGCTTTAGCAATTAGCAGAAGTACATGTAAGGTATATTGGGTTGATTTGGTGTGTTCTATCAATTAGGGATGAGACAAGTAAGGTCAAATGAGTTGAATGTATGTGCTCTACCAATTAGTGATGAGGCAAGTGAGGTAAATTTGGATGATCTGATGTGCTCTATCGTTTAGTGTTGGGGAAAGCTATAAACTGTAATAGAATAAAAGATGTGTAAGTTGAAGATAAACCTTACCTTGTACGGTTAAAGACCCCAGTTTTCTTGGAAATTTCGTATGATCAACAGCTTGAATCTTGACAGAGCATTCATACTTTCCTGCATCTGATTCTCGTAAACGACGAATAATCAACATGTACGTCTGCCGATCTTCCGTTCTTCGTTGCTCGACTTCATACTTTTTCAAACCACCAATACTAGGGTTAATAGAGATATATATGGATTCATCTCTACTAATGACTTCATCTGCTTGTCCATCCTTCTTCAGTGTCCATATCACCTACAAGATATAGTTATATAGTTGGAATGGAATGGGGTTTACATTCATTACCCGACGGAACCCCTGGTTGTTGTGGAATTATTAGTGCAAGAAAAACGAGTATAACAACTAGGTTTTGCCTGTTCCCCAATCCCCTCAGTTCCTGAATAAATGTGTGTAAATGGTCCTATTGAATTTAACATACCGTATAGTACTTTTCTTCTCTATACATGTACATGTAGTTACGGGTGCAATGCGAGAGAGAGAGGGGGGTGTCTGGACAGTGTCATTTGCCAATTAATAGAATTTACAAGGGTTCTTTTACATGCACACCAATGTGTACACAGGTGGTCCTCGGTTTTTTTTAACCTGTACCTTTTGTAATTTAATACTCTGTTTGTAATTATGCTCATGGTACCCATTGTAATTTAAGCACTGTATATTGACTATGCTACTGGTACCTGTTGTAATTTACACATTTTCTGTGGTGACTCTTGGTTACCATTCACCTGGTACCGTTTGGAATTTAAACACTTTATATGGTGACAATGCTCCTGATACCCATAGTAATTTTAACACTATGTATGGGGACCATGCTCCTGGTATCCCTTTGAAATTTAAAAATTTTGTATGGTGATTATGCTTCTGTTACCCATTGTAATTTAAACACTTTGTATGGTAATTATGCTTTGGTTACCCATTGTAATTTAAACACTTTGTATGGTGACTATGCTTCTGTTACCCATTGTAATTTAAACACTTTGTATGGTGACTATGTGTATGCTTCTGTTACCCATTGTAATTTAAGCACACGGCATGGTGACCATGCTCCCGGTACCCATAGTAATTTAAAGACTTTGTTTGGTAAAATTAGTTTTAATAAAAGTTGAAATTATTTCAGTGAATGTTAAACCACAAGTGACAATTTCTAAAGTGAGTACACAATGGGATGCAGCATGTGCAATAATAAGCTTTCACATACATGTAGTGGTCTTTACCAGTGGAAGGAAACCAGATGACTCAAAGAAAACACAGTAGGTTAGGCATAATTAAAAGACCCTACACACCTGGTCACTTTTTACTTCACGAGCGAGTTGTCGAATCCATGCCATCAACTTATGATTAGATCATTCGATCACCCGCACCGCCCCCACCACCATTTCTAAGGCCTACTGCCACAAATTTAAATATGTCACTTACTGTATGTGTTAGTTTATTTGCAACTGTACAATTAAGTCGCGCTGTACGACCTATCGGTTTCACCTCGGGCCAGATCTCATCAACGATTTCTGGATCCTGAGCATTAACTGTAAAATAAAAGGTAAACTCAAATTAACTGTTATTTTAATTTGATCCTACAGTCTCCAGGGATATGATTACTGCTGATTTTACAAGAGTAAGATACGTATGAGCAAAAACACAATATTTACATCATTATGGTGGGGGCCTGCACTGAGAGATTTTGGTCTGTATGGAACATGCTAGAGTCAATTTATAGCATAATGTCAGATCGGGTGCAAAGCGCATCATTAACCCCAGGGAGCCACGGTGGCTAGGTGATTAAGACACTGGTTCGCTAGCCTGGAGGTCGGCTGTTCGATCCCTGCATTGACTGAGAAAGTTCATCAGGATTTTCCAACGGGGTTTCCCCTTGTCAGTGGTGCAAAACGGAGGGCCTGACAAGGACAACTGTCTAGTCCTTCGGATGACACGAAAAAAACGAGGTCCTATGTTTATACATTGGAATGCACATGAAAGATTCCTTGGCAGTTGGAATTCGATATAAGAGTAGGCGATAGTGCCGCTGTCCGGGCAAAATTTCCCTCATAGCACACTGTATGGCGTATGCCCGGCTTCATTAGCCCAGTATAGGAGCAGAACAGTAGGACGTTAAACCCCATTTCATTTCATTAACCCCTTCCCACTTAAAGTCTACATGAACCAGAAGCACAGTAATCAGTCGAGCAGTGACGGATCATCAGGTCACCTAGCTGATGAGCCCCTGTGACAAGATGACAATGGGGGCTGGGGCGACCTACCCCGAGAAATTTTGGGAAATTTTGACCTGAAATGGGGGTCCATGTATGTGAAGTATATCCAATGCCCCATGGGGTCCCCCTACCTAATAATTTCAATATTCATCTGCTGCCAACACTATGATCCATCACTGGTTGCAAGAGGTCCGGTAGTCGGGTTATCACACACCTTAGAACTTTTATGTGGACCGTGGTGACTGAGTTTGTTCTAGGTCTATATAGTTAACATAAAATATCAACGACCGTAATAAACTGGAGATCACAATGAACAATAACAGCATTTTGTCATTAGCCATCAGGGAGATACATGTAGGTCATTATTTTGCATTTTATTCCGTCGTTGGTCTAAAGATTGAAATTGAAGTTCATAATATATGTAAAACTATAGGATAAGGTTTCTCGTTATATTCAGACATATATATATTATATACGACATCTTTGTAATAAGCCTCCTATTACATAGATTTAAGACAAGTTTCGCTGTTTTCTTATTATGATTCACCTGAATGGCGGCCATTTTTGAATTGGCCTACACATTATTTTAGCTTGACCTAAATAACGATTAAATTAATTAACTCACCTGAGATCAAAGAAGCCGAAATGAAACACACAAACAGCACCCACTTCATCATTAATCTGTGCTTGGTCCCTAAAATCATAAAAGCTAAATTGTTAAAAGCCGAAAATATCGGTAAAATTCAAGTATAATGACGCATACTACATTCCACAGGTGAAAACAAATTCACTTCGGACTGGTAAGGCGTGACACAAAAATCACGTGACAAGGGCGACAGGGTTAAGAAAGAGAGAGAGAGAGAGAGAGAGAGAGAGAGAGAAATGGGGTTTAACGTCCACTCGACACAAAGTAGGTCATTTCGGGACTAACATATGGTTTTTAATTTTATTTCAATAATTCGCTTGCGCGTAGGGATCTTTAGCAGTGGGAGGAAACCGGAGGACCCGGAAAACCCACGAGATTGGACAGGCGACCCTACTCCTTGTCACGTACAACCGGGGATTCGAAACCACGCCAGTTAACTCAATGACAGGCTTTATGATACAGCACGCACGTGCTAACCATTCGGCCATCCAACCCCCCGGCTAAGAAAGAACTGATTACCTGGACAGCTTTGATAATCGTAATTTTACTAGTCAGTCAGACGTTCCGTTTTTCAATAATATATATCTTTCTGTTGTTTTTTTTTTGTTTTTTTTTTTTAAGTCACAAAGTAGCCTAATAATTCAATAATTCATAAAGTAAATGTTTCGGCAATGTACTTATACCAGTTATAATGTCTAAGATTGTTCATTTAGTTAGATATGTTTGTTTATTTTTTAAATTCTTTTTTACAGACAGGGTTCTCAAAAATGATCAATGTTGGAAAATGCGATGCTTCAGCACAGTCATGTATAATAGTCTAAAGGTATACATACCTATACATAATAATAATATATATAGTCCGGATATCATTTAAAAAAATTCATGTGCCTAACAGTGGCATGCAGAATATTGATGATGCTCGGGCCCCAAGACTCAAATAAAGGGGCCTAGCTCAGAAATGTTACAAATAGGACCATTTTAAATATGTCAAAACAGCGAAGAAATAAACTTTTTGTTCATAGGCCTAATTTTAAACTTGATCCAATTTCACTCTTGCAATGTGTCAAGGTGTGTCCCTCTACTTTTCGTCGAATTCCAACTGCCAACGGTTCTTTTCACGCCCACTAACTTGTACACATGTGAACTCTTTTTTTGTCCCATCCGAACGACTGGATGTTGTTCCTTGCAGTTTGATTATGACCAGTGGCAGACGCGGTAAATTGAACCCAAATCACTCTTTAATTCAACGTCAGTAATATATAACTCAAATTATAATGATACAAATTCTGGTAACTTTATTCATACACATTTTGGGTTTTAAGAGATTTCAAACCATTCGTAATTTCGTAATTTCAACCTGAAGCGCCTGGGAAGTCGAGACAACCAAATTCCGTAGAGGTGAGTTAACTAAACTTTGCGCATGCTCAATGAGAGACAGGTAATATAGGTCATATTGTTGATTTTGAAAGTACCTGTGTGAAGTAAGAAATACTAAATATTCATGGTGTTTGTCGAATGATGTTCTCGACAAACATGAATTTAGCGCATGTGTTTGTCCTATTTACCGTTATTTTGACAGGTAAGTTGTAACTTCACAGGTATTTACCTTGAGAATATGTCAATGGTGCCATTTCCGTTTATGACAAGAAGACGATATTATATATATACGAAATGGTTAACACTACAATGTGTGTGTGTGTGTTGTTTTCAATTTTGGTATAAATCACCCCGTAAGATTTCTGAAGGTACTATAGTTACTACAGAAGTATGGTACAATAATTATAGCGATCACGATTGGCATGGGCCGTAATTACATTGCCAAAATAATTAATTACATTTAACCGTTTTCTGGAGACACACATCGGCGAAAGATGGGATATATTTTTTAGGCTGGCCTGCGGACTCCCGTGTATTTTGGGTTAGGGTCTTGGACGAGAGACATAAGATGCCATATTTTTTTAAAAAATATTTTCGCCTTTTTATGTTACAGTGCTAAAAATGTTTTTTAATAGGTCATGACAAATGGATTGAAATGGGGTTTAACGTCCTACTTTTCTGCCGCAATTGGCCTAATGAAGACAGTCAAGGGTTCTTTGACATTTTTTTTCCCCTCCAATCTGAGTAGAAGAACCCTAGCACAGTTGCAATTGCCTTCATAGCACACTGCAATCTGCATGCCCATCTTCATTAGCTTGTTGGTGCAGAAAATCCCATCTCATATGATGATACTGTGGTCCCTCTTATCTTTCAGTAAACATTACTTATTTTTATATTTCAGTAAAGGGAGATGATCCTATAATAATTATCAGTGAAACAGATCCACCTATAAATGTAGCATATCAACAAATCGTATCGGAGAAGGACAGAGATGTACAGTTAACATGTGTTGTTCAAAACAAACCTGAAGGCAGTGACGTAAGTGCTTTAAGATATAAAAATATGAGTTAAACCAGTCCTTTCACTATATAATAACAAAATCTGAGTTAAACCAGAGCTTGTGCTATAAAATAACAAAATTTGGGTTAAAAGCTTTCTCTATAAAATAACAAAATCGGAGTTTTTCACTATAAAATAACAAATTTTAACATTATTCTATTCAAAATGCGTCAAAGGATGATCGTCAGCTTTAACTGGATGTCTACATGTATTTCAGATAAAAATCTGTCACTGAAATTCTACTGCAAACAAAATATATTGGTGCCTACATATATTTTTATTTTTTTATTTTTTTTTTTTAGGTAAAATGGGTTGGGTTTTTGAGCAACAATTCAACAGTTCCTATTTCGGAAGCTACAGATTCCACAGATGCCTTTAAATACAGTATAGATCAGCCTTCACCGACAGCCTGGCGTCTTCGTATACAGAACGTACAAGTGACAGATGAGGGCAAATATGAATGTAAAGTTCAGACAGGAAATCAGATTTATGTCCGACAGTCTGAACATCTTCGTGTTGTAGGTGAGGCTAAATTGGGATCTCAGTCTAAACACTTAATTTATCAGTGAAAGTTTGCATCAATGTCCACTTTCTAGCATGATACATGTAAATAAGTTGGGAATGCTTCAATCTTTCATTGAAAGTCAGCATCAATATCCACTTCCTAGCATGTAAATAAACTGGGAAAGGTTCAATCCATCATTAAAAGGTGGCATCCATGATTATACATTTAACAAAATGGTAGATAGCTTGCATTCTGTTGGATTAGAAAGATAAAGCTAAGCATAACAGAGATGGCATAATTTGTTTAGAAGGGTTATACATGTAAAAGTAGATGAAACAGCCTTAACAAAATTAGTCCAACCCTTATAGATTTAGCAAAATTATCAGCAATACTGAACAGAATTGGATTGATATTCTTTTCATACTATTGTTACCGGCTTAGGTTCTTATTGCTGTTGACAGTTCATTATACTGGTTACTTCTTATTCATAAATTATAACACTTGATTCAGACAATTAGAGAACTTTATGTAGATACAGTAAATAACAATCATAACAGACAATATCCAGAACAGTATAATAACTACAGAATTATGTTCAACTAAAGAAGTTTAAAATTAAGAGTTGGCATAAGTGTAGCCTGTTATCTGTATCTCCTACCTAACTTGCCTTAGATTATGCATGCATTAAAATATTACCATTAAAATACATTATCTCATTAAGTCTTGTTCTTATTAGACTACTTATTAAGAGGACTATAGTCCAAGATGTCATATTAAGGTAACCCATAATCAATTAAACCATAGAAAGGTAATTATAACACTATTGTAGTTTGCAAGAGATGATTCCAAATCCCTCAAATGACAAGTACTACATGTTATGCCTACGTTTGTTTGATATTACTACTTTTGTTTTATTATTTTAGAAACACCACAAATAGCTGATCTCCAGACAAGTAGTGATACTATTGTAAAAGATGGAGACAAAGTCGACCTTTGGTGTAATGCCACTGGTCGACCTTTTCCTTTAATAAAATGGTCACGATTGGCAGGAGAATTATTACCTAAAGGTGGACAGGAATTGGGAGTAAGTATAATGTTAAAGAAGGTCAATATGCGAAATAAATGAATCCTTTAGGAGCTCTTGTCAATGCCATTTATTAATAAAAATTGCTTGGTGAGTATTGCGCTTTGCTCACTTAAACCAAGACGTTTCGGGTTAGATCCAAGTGTTGTTTGGGAAGTTTTTCAGGATTTTCCATCCTTGTTTATTTGGATGGGATGAAAAACCGAAGTCCTCCCCTGTGTGCATAGCCCCATTTCAATTCTACTATGAAATGGATATGGGTTGAGATTTTACGTCATTGTTTACAGTAGTTTAATCTTGGAGATTTATTTATTGTTATATCTATTTGTAGGCCTACCATTTAAATATTCTGACAGCTAAGGCTGAAGATAGTGGAATATATAAATGTACTGCAGCTAATGAAGCAGGAAAAGATGAAAGAAAGATATATCTTACTGTTAAATGTAAGTATTTGTTTGTTCAGCATGTTTCTCAGGCCTACAATCTATATTCTAGGCCTGGCATCCATGTTATATTGATTTATAATAATCAGAATCCATATTATGTCGATTCACACGAATTTATATTATAATAATCAAGTCTGATATGGTACAAACTAAACTCAATATGAAAGCAAACTCATCACAAGGGAGGTAATCCATAAATGCAAAATATTAAAAAGGTAGCAATCCATAAATGCAAAATATTAAAAAAGAGAGTATTATCCCAAACATTGTATTATTCTAATGTAAGGTAAGTCATGATTGGTTACAATCTATATGGTAAATTATTTTGTTGTGTTTTATAGATCATCCTACGGTAAGAGCTGAGGTGAGAAAAATCTATCAGGCTCGAGGTTATGTAAAAAATCTGGTATGTAATATTGCCGCTTATCCTGTTCCAAATCTAAACTCAATATCATGGACTAGAGGGTCGATGCCAATACAATCCGGTGGACAGTAAGTAGGCTTAATTATCTATTATCTACCAATTGTCTTCCCCAGATGAAGATAACAAGTCAAATATAGGCCCTTAAATAGTGTCATGCCACCAAAATAATATCGTCGGTGAAGTGTTAAAAGGGTGTATCTAAGAATTTCTAAAGATTAAGAAATAGGACTTTTTGCATTTCAAAATTTCCACAAATCAAGATACAGCATTTGGACACATGATACCCAGAACAGTTCTAATTGGCGTAGAGATACACAGCTTAGATAGAAATGTGCATATTAACTGGGAGAGTTTAAAAATGCAAAAAAGTGTATTTGACTAATTTCACGAGATACACCCTTTTGGAAATTTAATTAAAGCCTTTTTATTTTTTGTAATAGTATATTACCTGCTTTCAATCAGGTTATATAGAGGTGCCTCAAATGATTTCAGTAAAATTTAAAGATTGTGCAGAGTTGTTTTATAGGGTTATAGACGAAACTGCCTTAAATGGACATGTCAAAACATCCATATATATTGGTTATAACGCTCATAAAGACCATAAAAAAATCCATAATGAGCAATTAATTATTCTTTATTTAATAAGAATCCTGTGATTCATATTAAGATACATTCTGACCATATTTAGTGAATTTGGGCCTTTTCTTGATTTTATTGGCAGCAGATAGAGAGCAATGCCAAATGTTGCGAAATATTGCAATTTGTAAGGAATTGACATTCCCTCAAATTTAACTACATTTAATTTGTAAAATGAAAATCAGAAAATAGGACCATGGCTCAAATATTGTGGTGAATAGGCTATCTTAGTTTAGGCCAGCTTGCATATTCTTTTAATTAGCTAGCATATATCCTTACCCGAGATACCTTAAATATTTTAAATGGTCACGTGACACAATAAAATAGTTTATAACAGTAATTAATTTTTATGAAGTTCTTGCCAATCCATTTCTGTATATGATACCAATATTTGATCAACTGATATTTTTGTTTCAGTCGAAGTATAAGACATATTCCGGGAGCTTTAAGTAAAGTAACAAGTATTTTAACTATCAATGGTGTAAGAGAAGAAGATTATGGAGAGTATACGTGTTCAGCTCAGAACTCCCAAGGCGAAGGAGCTGATACAATGACTCTTGTGGGTAAGTAAATTTTTGAAGTGCTGTTCAAGTCCAATTTTCTTTTTACACAAAATGATAATACTCTTGGGTTATCCTTTATTCAATGTGCGGAATTAAAAAAAAAAAGTTTTTTTTACTGATTTTAGAATTTAAGCCGGCCAGACCTTTTAGAGATTTTGGGGCGCATGGCATGTTTGCACCTCAAGCAACAAAAGTTTTATTCAAACATCCCCATAAACTCTATACTGTGTTAAAGCCTTTTTGTAAACCATTAACTTTTAATTATTCACTTGTATTGAATATCTTTACTATCTGGAATATCATGTGCTTATTTGGAAGTACAATACACAAAGTTATGTAACAGTCTATAAAACCTTTTTTTATTGGCTTAGAAATATGAGATCTAGATTAAAGATGAGCAAGCAAGACTGTAAAGAAGCAAAAAAAAAAATAGTTCATTTCCTAAAATTTGTGAGACACAACTTTTTGACTCGATACCAGCAATAAATATCATAATTTGGAAAATTACATGTAAATGTTGTTAGTATGAATTCAAGACTTATTTGATGTTAGACTATATTTATCCTGGCAGTATAGGAGTGTAAACATGGCCTTAAAGTGCACAAAAAATGGAAATTACCTAATGTTCTTTTTTTTTAAAGATTTGTTTATTGTTTTCTTTTATTTTAGAATCTTCCCAGCCAACACCTGATAGAACTGGCAAATACCAACGTAGTGGCGCTACTATACTAACTATCAGTGTAACAACAGTACTTATGTTAATATCTGTCTGTTTATTACAAACTTAGAACTTTAATTTGGAAAGAGAGTTTTAAAATAAGATTTGAAATCATAAAATTGAAAATTATCTCTTCAGAAATTTTTTTCTTTGAACAGGAGCACAATTCTATGGAATATATGCTTTAAGCTCAGTAATAAACAGTAACTTTATTCAATAGAATTGGGTTGTGTAGTAAGAGTTTTAGTTTCCTCTTTATACAAACTAAGAAATATTTAGTCTTCCTTAATTCTAAGTTAATTAAGATTTAATTAATAACTTCAATAGTTATCTCATGAAACAAACTCTAATATTTAAATATTTAATTGTAGTATTGTGAATATTAATATGTTAAATAACAGCTAGTGAAATGTTAGGAATCAGGTTCTTTACATTGAACCAGAAAGATGTCTAAATAGTGTAAATGAAATACAAAATGTGAAATCTGATGCAGTTATATCCTTGCTTGTGCTGTTTTTAATGAAATTTCTTGCCAGGTTTCACTGAACGACTAACAAAAGGCAGCTGCCTTGCCCAGCTATTTTGAATGTTTTAGTTTAAAGACTACATTATTGATTGCACTTGTAGATATTTTATAAGTATCTCTGATATATTTATTGATACTTGAAGTTGATTTTAATTTGTACAATTTGAACTACAGTAAGACCGTCACATATTGTATTTTTATATGAATTTCACCTATTTCCAAAATGTTTTTTGTCACTCCAGCCTTTGATATTATTTTCATAGAGCACACATCAACCTTGACAGAATACAATTTATTTAAGATCTAGGAAATAGAATTAACCATTCCTTTAACATATTCGATGTGTGGACATTCCTTAAAATTTCTTTCCGGTTATTTTTAACATATTTTTACACATTTGTAACATATATTGTACATAATCTATTTTTTATATAATCATCCAGTTTAAACATAGTTTTATCTATCAACTGTTTGTTTTGTATAATCATTCAGTTTAAACATAGTTTTATGTATCTACTGTTTTCTGTATAATAATCCAGTTTTGAACATAAAATTATGTATCTACTGTTTTTTTGTTAAAAGGGAAGTCACAGTTTTAACTACATGCAGGTCTGAAAATAGTAATTTGTTTTAATTAAGTACATCTTAACCACAAAATGTGAAGAAGCCTATTTATCCCGTCTGAAAGTTTCAGCTCAGAATAATGAGTGCTTGCTCCATTTTTCCATTGTGTAGTGAGATAAATATGTAATTAAAATCCAACAGTAACCTTCAAATCATAGTGTAAAACTGTCACTGTGCATGCATCTAAGTTATAGACAGGACTTCAGACAGAAGGTGATTGCCAGATAAGAACCTGTTCCCCGACTCCATTGGACGATTGGATGTTGGCATTTCTTTGCAAAGATATCACTTGGGGAAAGGTAAAAGCTTTCATCACAGGTTCCACAGAATTAACCAGTTCCCATGAATGACTTCCCATGAATGCATTCCATTTATTAATTTAATCTTATATCAAACATTTTCATTTCTAAATCTTTCTATAATTGAAACTTTTTTAAATTAAAAATTATATCATATATGTAAATAATCATTGATACATTGATATGTACACATGCTACAAATTTTATTTTAAAAAAGTTCTGGGAAATAATGGCTGATTAATAATGTTTTTTTCATCTTTGATCCCCCCCCCCCAAAAAAAGCTGGATATTTTCATTAAATTTTATATACCTGCCTTTGTGTAAATATTTAATTATAGAAATGTACATTTTTGTTAAGGAAATACTTCTATGATTTCTGTATTTCAATCCAATCATCATCCTTGTATTGATCATTTTAATAGTGATACAGCCATATCATGATATCTATCTAGTATATTATTCACATTATTATTAGAGAATTTTTTCAATTATTAAATCATTTTTACATACTAATAAAACATTTTATAGAAAGTATCCCATGCCTTTTTGCCTTTTATTTTTATACGCCCAAACATAGTTTGATATAGTCATCGCCCCTGTCTGTCTGACAACAGGTTCTCGTTAATGGGGTAGAGGCAAGAGTTGTTGATGCGATGACTACAAATCTTGAGAGGATGATCCCTTTTTAGTTTTCTATGGCATTTTGTTCGTAAAAGTTATTGGCCCTCACACTCTGACAGGAAAATTTCTTGCATATGAGAGAGAGAAATGGGGTTTAACGTCCACTCGACACAAACTAGGTCATTTCGGGACTAACATATGGTTTAATTTTATTTCAATAATTCGCTTGCGCAATAATTCGCTTGACAGACTTTATGATACAGCGTGCGCACGCTAACCATTCGGCCATCCAACCCCCCATTGCATATGCGATAAAGGCTGAGAAGTATAAGCACCATAAGAAGATGATCTCTATCGATTCTGGCATACCAATTTCTTGTTAACGCGATGGAGCCTAGAGATTTTGACATGTTTTTCAAATTTGGAGTGAAGCATTGCCATCGTGAGAAGATGGACCTTATCTATTTTAAGCGTCCCGAGACATGTAGTTATTTGAATTATCTGCCCTTTTCCTAAAACGTTGTTAACGCAATAGAAGCTACAGTTCATAATATATATTATTTTCATATTTGGTTTGAAGAGTTCGGGTCAGGTGAGAACGAATCCTATCGATTGTCAGCAGCCTGCAAACTTATGTTCGGGAGTTACTCCCCTCGCCTGCTCGAAATCCTTGTTAACATGATACAGGGTCATGGTGTTTAAAGGAGCTAAATCGCTAACATTTGGGACCTAGAAATTGACAAAAGTGGGTCGCAACGCATATAATACTGTAATATGAATGTATATAAACTGATTTACATTCAATGGTTTCCGTTTTTACTCCAATTTCAAATCAGTTATGTTCGGCGAAATAAGCCAGCAGTCTCAAGCGAGTGCAAATTTCTAGCGTCTGGTTATTCCAGTCTACATACGCTGTTTGATTTGGTGCAATGTGTCTAGCCTCATCCCTCGAGTCTCTTGATGCAACTGGGGCTGAAGCGCATTATGGTACACGATTCGTGTACCAATGGTAAAATGTTTATTTTGTCTTAAATATTGGATATCAAAAGCCCATCTTTTTCCGGTAAGATCACAACATGAATGTTGATTTAATTTGACAAATAAATCGTGTTTTCAATGTTGAAGATTTTGGATGATATTGAGTTAGAGACTTAGCTACTTTAACTATTTCTTTCATAAATGGTGTGACGTTTTGGGTTGATGAGTGGATGAACCCTACGGATATCCAGTGTTCCGCGGTCTTCCATTCTGGAGTTAAATCCCCCTTTCTGAAAACATGACAGAGACTACAGTTTGTAATTGATTAATTTTAAATTTGGTGCGTGGCATCGGAGTCATTGACATTCAGCCTTCAGCGATATTCCGTCCCGAACTAACCACGCCCTCTTCTGATAATTGGTTAACAGATTTTTTCTTTCCAATTTGGTGCGAAGCGTTTGGGCCGTGAGAAGATTAAACCTATTGCTTTTCAAATTTGATGTGAAGCATTGTTATCTGACATTGTTCCAGAGATTTATGTGTACGGAAATGCTTGAGACCACGATAGAGATTATCCTTTCTGATAAGCTGCAGTTGAGGCATAGCTTCTGGGTGGGCGCATTTCAACGCTTTAATGGTTATCTTATAACATGTTCTTCAATAACTAAGAACCTCTTTGTACAATCTAACGACTAGACGCTCTTCCTATCCAGACCTTCCATCCCGATTTCAGGGGCGGATCCAGGAAATTTTGCAGGAGGGGGTTTGCCAAGTTCCCGAGACAATGTACCCCCCCACCCTCTCTCGCATAGTCTCTATCGTCATTTTGGCGTATATACATACACATTGAGCTTTTTAAAAAGAGAAATTCAACACCTCGTTTGACGTCAATTTTTATTATGATGAATTAATACAATGACATTGTGATTCAATTTCATGGATGCAAAGCATGAATTGTGATATCACATAATATCTATATCATTATCTCGTGCTTTGAGTGCCCATCTTGTCCCACATCTGACGATAAGAGATAAAGCGCACGGCCGAGAAACTTTTCTCATAAAAAGTGTTGATTTACAAGAAAAAATTATGTAGCCGAGCAGGGGGGGGGGGGGGGTCATGGTCATTTCTAGAAAAGATTCTTTAAGGAAAATATCAGGGCCTGTGTAAATAATAAAAGGCGTCTTGAGTGTAAGTGGCGGGGATGTTATGCACGAGGCAGTGTATGCATATCATGTGACATTTCTGTATAGTCATAATATATTGCCTTCAAATAATAAAACTTCCCAAATGTTTGTAATACACTTATTTTATTTCTTTCACCTACAGGTAATGTCGATAATCTACAATTTGATATAATACTACTTCTGCACATGATAATAACACATGGTTTTAATATAACAAAGTAAATACAAAATGTACAATCATTAATCCAATTCATACAATTCTAATAACGATATTTCGTCAATATTTGGTTATAGAAATGTACGTTTGTTTTGTATTTTTAAAGAGAATTTAATATAATGAATACAAACAACGGAACCATTAAGCCAATTCAAACAGCATCTGGGCTATTAAGTTGTTCAACCAACTTTATTATTTGTATTCGACGATTGGGACGTGACATTAGATTCAAAAACGTATCTTGTTCTTTGTAACTGCATTTTATTCATTAGAACAACGCATGGTTTAATATAATTAATTGATATTCTACAACCATTAGCAAGATCAATATTGGCGTAATTTTATTCTCCCACATTTTCATGTGTACATTGTCATCGCCTCTGTCACTCTGGATCTTGGTTTCTTTCGAAACTGGCAAGTATCGGACCACACTTCCTAGATTCTGGCTCCTGTTTGTACGAAAAATCACGTTTTTAGTTTGTGGCCCTCTAGTGTTCACAATTTGTTTCCGATTTAAAAAAAAACAACGTTTAAATATATATCACTGTTACGCCCTAATCATGCTTGAGTTCGAATTTTGTGCTCCTTCTATACAACAGTATAACAGTATGCAATACCAAGATTGTGGATCCTCTAGAATTCATACTTTTTTATCCGATTTTAATGAAACTCTAATACATCATAAATTATGGCCCCTGAGTTCGAATTTCGTGCTCCTTTTATACAACAGTGTAATAGTATGCAATAACAAGATTGTGGATCCTCTAGAATTCATAATTTTTTTATCAGATTTTAATGAAACTTAATACTTTATTTATTATGGCCCCTGGTTGAACAAAAAATTGTAATACTATAGGGCCTATATCTATGGAAGTTGTTTAATTTCTCAGGGAGATGGTCTGGTTAATGTATTGTAGTCGTTAGCTAGTACCAGTGACAACGAGAACTAGGCTAACAAGGAGACGCCAGTACATAACTCATGCCAGTATCCTCTTTACAAAGAATGTGTGGTGTTTAACTTTCTTCATGCATCATTTCGTATTCTCAGAGAAGGACGTTTCCACAGCCTCTTAGGCCGAGAGGTAATCGGTGTTCGTATACGTTGTATGATTCTCTGCCACAGTTTGATATTATTGGGCGTTCCTTGGGCAATTTAGTAGGTATAAACCATTCTGTTTCTGGATTGTTATGTATTTTTGGTAGCGTATAGAGATGTCGTTGTTGGCAGTCAGATTTAGCGGATGGATAATTATATTGTTTTGCTGCTATGTATTCCTTGTCTTGCAATTCATGTAAGATGTTGTTTATTAAGGTTGGGGTGTCCTAGAAGATGGGTTGATCTAATTTAGTGTCATGTTTTTCTGCCTCTGATATATAGTCTGTGCGACTCATTATGTTTTTGTCTTTTTTGAGGGTATTTAATGCTGTTTTTGCGGCCCGGTTGAGATTTGGTATTTGTGATCGTGGTTAAAGGGATACTATTTCTGTGTTCAATTGGTCTAAAGTGTTTAGAAGTGCTGGTGATAATGAATTGTTCGGTGGTTTCCATGTGGATGTTTCTGTGAATAAGATTTTACCCCTGCTGGGAATGTTCCTAAAAAATAAATCAATGAACGAGTTCTTTGAAAGCGATCGGTTACCTGAAAAATGGGGTCTATAGATGTTATTGTTGGAGTTTGTTAAGTTCTAGGGAGCTGAACAGTCCGTTGAGCAAAATTAAATTGACAACTGTATATCCTAAAGACGACGTCTCATTCCTTTTCCCTGATTCTAGTTTAAATTCCCCATCCAGCAGTTGATGTTATTGTTGGAATTGGAATAAACTTGAGGACTTTCTCAAGTATGCTAAGTTCTAGTGGGCTGAGAAGTCTGTCGCTCAAATTGACAACTGTCTATCCTAAAAACGGCTTGTCATTCCTTTTCCCAGATTCTAGTTTAAATTCCCGCCGTGTCTGTGCCCCAGTGGATGGCGTCGTTTCCTTTCGATTCTACTTTGCCCTCGAAGTTTGGTAGTGTGGTGGCGTTTGGTAAAGGTACAATGGAGATCAAGTGGTTGTAGCTGTTAATGTTTTGGTAGGCGACCTGATTGTCTAGACGGAATCGGGAAAAAGTGTGGATCTGTGTGGTAAATTGCTTGGTTGTTGGGAAAACTTCTCTAGCCACCGAGAGCAGATCTAGCATCTGTTCTTGTATCCTTGGTTCAGCTTCCTCCCTGTTGTTGAGTCCGACGTGTATAACCAGCTCCTAGGGTGCAGGTCCCATGTATTT